ACATATATAAACATGTTAAATATCAATGGACAACTTACTAGTTGATTAGGTTATATTTATTTATTTATGTGTGGCAGAATAACATGTAGGCGTATATAACACGTAAGTTACACAATCTAGCAATGTCCAAATAACACATTACACATTAAATATAAATATTACGAATTATTTGGTCAACACCCAACCAATACAAATTATCTAAATTGGTTAAAACAATTATGGGATAAGATATATACATATACAAAATTCGTACTGTCTTCCAACTCAATTTTGGCAAGGTAAACATCCGTTTCACGAAATTTTCGTGAAATACAAAATTGTAGATAATCGAATTTCCATTCAACCACGCTGGATTTGAGCCATTTTGACACTCGAGGAAAGAGATACAGTCAGAATATTAAAACGGGAATTGGAGAAAGTTTCCTAATTAAAGAAGGATTCTTCCTTTTCTTCTAATCAATTTCTTCACATGCATTTATCCTATGTCTAGGTGATTAACATGCTAATTTAATCTATAGATTTTGATACCCAATATGATAAACTTATGGGTTCTAAGAGGAGAGTTAGAAAAGAACTTGCCTGAAGGTTTAGAAACAAAATCAATGCTTCAACCTTGGTTGTCTCTTCCAAATCCGACGTCCTCTTTCTCTGATCCGGTCTTTTCTTTGTTAGCATTCCCTTCTTTTTTCTCTGCTTCTCTTGTTTTTTTTCTAACGTGAAAAACCTTTTAACAATATAACCTTATGTGTATATTTAAACATATTAATACCCTAATCATATTCCTAGTATGACTATCCAAATAAAAATAATAATAATCTTAAATAAAATATATACACATATATTATATTATATATATAATTATTTATTATATATATATTCCTCACCCAATAAAAATAAATAATATATATTGTCAATCCTTCTCCACGTAGGACTCTAACTATATTAATATACATAAAACATATAAATATAAATATAAATATATTATGTAATATATATTTATAAATCCTTTTTAACTATACTTACCATATATATGCATATAGTCCTATACATATATACCTACTATAAATATATAATTCTCTATATAATTATATATATATAATCCATTTAATATGCATAATATATATATATACTCATGCATAAATCCATGGGTCTTTAAACCATCCAAAATCCTTTGAGGCTTCCTTCTCCAGCCCAAGACCCAAATCCTTTGGTCCAAATAATCGAAACCCAATCCATTAAATTTAAACAAATAAATAAATACTTAATATTAAAACAACTAAATACATGTAGCACATAATCTAATAAGAATTAACAACCAAGTCATACCATATAAATAAATATCTACATGCCATCAAAGCATTCAACAATCAAGTACATCATCATACCAATAAATCAAATAAAAAAGTAAACAAATAATTAATTTAAAACAAATAAATTCATTAAATTCATTTAAAGGCAATTAATTTAATTAAATAATTCTTTAAAATATAGGGGTATTACATTTTCTCTAATTTCATCAATTCTAATTTTAAAACTCTAATTCTATAACCGTCAAACATAACAGTAAAGTATTTCATGTTACAAAACATGTCACACGACTCACACCATCAATTAATCAAATCAACATTATTTTTTCAATCTCTAAGTACATAATGGCAAAATTTTAAAATAAATACGGTATTATAATAGTTTAGTGTCTTTGAACCGCTAAGTACTGCAAAAAAACCAGTCGTTACCCAAAAAGATTTTAATGGAGCTAGTCAATATTATTTTCACATATAAAAATATTGGTAGTGGATTAAAGAAATGCAGATAAAATAATAATAATAATAATAATAAAAGATTAAACAAATGGCAAAGTAAAAATAAAAATAAGGGTTAAGTGCAAAAAACTCCCCTAAACTATGGGGAAACTTGCAACTAACCCCCTGAACTTTCAAAAATTCAAGAAACCCCCTGAACTATGCAAAAAAGTTGCAGATCACCCCATCCGGCCAAGTTCCGGTGAATGTTGACCGTTAAAAATAGTTGACTTATTTTAAAATACCATATTGCCCTTAGACGCATGAAAGGACTAAAATGCCCTTAATTTCCGTCATCCTCGCCGGCCCATAATTGTTCAGTCCATGCTCTCTGTGAAGCCATCACCGTCGTCCAAGCTTTTTGTGTTGTCCTTTTCCCGGAATCTCTTTTCCGGTCGTCATCTCAACAACCAATAGAATCTATTTCCTATTATATATATATATATATATATATATATATATATATATATATATAACGATATTTACTGGAAAACAGATCTGATTGCTGTCCTAGGGTAGCATGGTACCGTTCCTCACTCGATTCCAGAATGTTTAGGGGAAAGAATGACTCGACGTCTTTGATATAATCGAAGTTGGAGCGATCGGAATGGAGTCGCCGGAGACAGAGAGGATGACCGGAATCGCCCGACAGCCAGCTCACCACCACCATCAACGTGGAGAATTTTCGTCCTATCGAGACCTTCGCATAAACAACTTCGAATCGAGAATTCGTGTTCACCACCAATCCTCATCGCTCGCCGAATCGAAAAATGGCAAACCCAGTTCGATACTGATCTTCCCTTGCTCCATCGATACTTTTTTTCCCTTGCTCAACCGCCGTTCTTGATCACGTTTTCTATGGTTGCTGCCCGTCAGTCCAACCGGGTAGTATTTCACCAGTTCAGTCCCGCGGAGCTCACCGCTGTATTTCTTCCTCACGGAGGTAGTGAACCGGCGATGCGGATCCGGCGGCTTTGGTGAGAGAATCCCGGTTTGTATGGTCCAGTTGTTGAGCTCGGCTAAATTCGATGAGCTCGGTCCAGTTGTTGCCGGCACTGGATTGGCCGAAGACAAAGTTGTCGAGGAGGAAGATTTGGTCGTACGGTCCGAATCAGACGTTATCCACATCATGTGCTCTGCGCACACCACGTGATCGGCCGGAATCGATCCCGTGCTCTGCGCGTACCACCTTCCAGAACTTGGTTCCGATTTGGCGACGGCGATGGGTTGAAGTGGCGGCAGCGGTGATGGATTGAATCAGCCCGTGGATGATGGATTGAATTAGCCCGTAGAAGAACTGCTGCTTAAGTGGCGGCAGTGTTCGACGATGAAGTCATCGTTAGCAGCAGTGGCGGGGAATTTGTAGCAGTCGGCCAGTAATCATCCATAGCCCATATTGCCCGCTTTTCTGTCAATCACAGACGTGCATAAGCCGCCGCCGTCAAATCCGGATCCGTCGCCGTTGTGTCAGTCTCTGATTTACGCCGGAATCGCGACTTCTCTAGTGGTTATTCCCTTCTAATTTGCCGTCGCCGTTGCCAACACGTGTTTGAACAGTGCATATATGTATGTGTAAATAAGTCAATTTAGGAAGGATAACATCGTCTTTTTTCTTTTCCGGTGGCCTGAGTGGGCAAATTGCAACAAATTGAAAGTTCAGGAGAATTTCTTGTAGTTCCGGGGGGTTAGTTGCAAAACCCCCATAGTTCAGAGGGGTTTTTTTTTGCACTTAACCCTAAAAAAAATAAATGAGGGAGAGATTAGAGAATTTGGTAAAATATCGGGACGCGGTCGAAGAAAAAAACCCGTTTATTGTTGTACTCGACCTTCTTCACATCTGTCTTCTCTCTATTCTCTCTCTCATATGAATATATATATATATATATATATATATATATATATATATATATATATATAAGTTTACATATATAACAGCGTATGTATTATCTTTGAACACAGAGGAAAGTAAGTGATCTGTGGGAAAACTAGACGGGTGGGTATAGATCTGACGATTTCCTCTCCCTTTTTCCTTTCCCACGACGCTGACTGAAAGAAGAAAGAAAGGAAAGGAAAGGAAGGAAAAGATGAAAATGGAATGGATTGATCGGTGTTGCTCCAACTCTTCTTCTTCATCAGTGCTTGTGTTTCTGTTTTTGTTCCTCCTCTCTGCTGCTTCTGATTCCACTTCCACTTACATATCATGTGTGTGTTTGTGTGTGTGTCAATTCTAATAAACTGTCTACATCTATTTAATCAATTTAATCACCTTTCCTAATCATGCTATATCATTCTTGTTAGAGCTCTCTATCTATATACACACACACTGTATCCAAATGTAATTATATGTGTGTATGGTGCAGATGATATTTTTTGGTCTCACCCTTCCACCGGCCGGAACCTGCCCCAGGCCAAGAAAGGTTTATTTTCTTTTCAATTACAGCCTCTTCTACACAATTTATATGTATAAGTGAAATTATTTGTGGGTTCGATCAGTTATAATGCATTAATCTTCCGGATTCTGCACGAGGGAGCTCCGAAGATAGGACAAGGTGGGACCCATATATCCAATTGGAGCGAGATACATGTACAGGGGAGCGACCCCTTCCTTGCACAGTATTTCACAGTCATAGGACTAATCTCTCGAGAACACTAGAAATGCCAGACAGATCCTGACATAGTCTACTCAGCACTGACAGGGTGTGTCATTTGTTAATAAATAATGTCACGTGAGATGCTGATTATAAACGTATTCGTAAACACACAAATGGATATAAAAGTGGATTTTTAATGAAGTGAAAATCGAGTGTCAAAATAAAATAAAAGAAAATAAAAATTTGTTAAAGAATTAAATTTCCTTCAACAATTGTTTTACTTTTTAAAAATTCAAATCTTAAATTATTTTGATTATTTTGAATTCAAAAAATATATATATGATGATTACTTTGATGATTTTTTTTTTTTTTTTTTTTCAGTTCAAAAAATGAAAAATGTATCATTTTGACTCAACAAAATCTTACCAATTTTAACGATGCATAATCAGGAAGAATGATACAAAGAAGTATTTAATAATTTTAAAAATAGTAACAGAACTAAAAATATTAACATAGAGTATATAAGATCATGGTTATTGTTGGCATACTTGTCACCTGCACGTGCCAAACAAGAATTTTGAACCATTCATTTTTATTTTTATTATCTTGTAACATTATCCTGTCCAAACTAGGAGAGGAAGGAAAAAGATGAAAATAGAATCGATTGATCTGTGTTGCTCCTCCAACTCTTCTTCTTCTTCTTCCTCAGTGCTCGTGATTCTGTTTTTGTTCCTTTTCTCTGCTGCTACTGCTTCCACTTACATTTCAGGTGTGTGTCTGTGTGTGTCAATTCTTGGGAACTCCCTCTACACACACACACACACACACACACACAATATATATATCAGTATGTATTTATATGTGTGTTTGGTGCAGATGACATTTTTGGGTCTGGCGCTTCCACCGGACGTAACCTGCTTCAGGCCAAGAAAGGTTTCTCTTCTTTTCAATTACAGCCTCTTCTACACAATTTATATGCATATATATTGAAATTATTTTGGGGTTCAATTATAATGCATTTATCTTCCAGAATTTCATGACATTGAGCCAGCCTCTTCTGGTACTGTATATAATTTGTGTGAATTAATTAAATTAATGACATTGAAAGAGAATATTTAAATAAAACCATGTCATATTTTTTTAAGAAATAAAAAAAAAAAGAAAAGAAAAGAAAAGAAAAGAAAAGAAAAAGGAACATGCTAGTTCTAAAAGACTTCTATATCATAGTGAATTCAATGAACTCATCGTTTGATTGAAGTAAATAAATAACCCTTCTCTAAAAATTGTACCTACAAATGCATTGCCGGTTACAAACAATGGTCGATTTTTTAAAAATTTGTGTTGGATTATCTTAGGGCCCGCTTGGCAACCGCGGTTGCTTTATACTTTTCCTGTGATGCGAAGAAACAATATTTTCTCTTTAGGGTGTGTTTAACACTATTTTAAAAATTATTTGGTAACGTAAGTTTGTTACAAGATTTTTGGAAGTGAAAGTATGTTCGGTAAAAAGTGACGTAAGTTTGAAAAATTAAATGGCTAATTAAAAATGTTAATTTAGAAGATTTTTATTTTTATTTATTTATTTATTTATTATTTTTAATAGTGTTTTGCTATAGCGTGGAAGCAAACAAAAAGTATCATTTTGATACTTTCGATTTTGGCTTCAAATTTAGAAGCGTTTCGGTACTATTCAAATAACAACAACCGTTACCAAATATGCTTCGTGCTTTTGCTTTGCTATAATATATTAGCAAAAGTAAAAAACATGAAACAAAAATATTAGTCAAACAGACCCTTAATAATAGACTGATAGTCACGTCTGTCATCAACAAAAACTGATCAAGACTTCTATCATTTTCCTATTTGAAATGGTTTTAGATTAGATTATCGGATAACCATGGCCTAACGGTACCTTGATTCATGTGATTTGCAGCTTGCCCTGTGAGCTTTGAGTTTCTGAACTACACAATTATCACAAGTCAATGCGAAGCACCGGAGTACCTACCAAAACTGTGTTGTCCAGCTTTTAAAGAATTAGCATGCCCTTATGTAGACCAATTGAATGACTTAACTACTTATTGCTCTGAGAACCTGTTCAGCTACATCAACCTCCATGGGAATTACACACCAGGTCTTTTTTCCACTTTGTGCCGGGAAGGGCAGGAAGGAATCCAATGTCCCGCATCACCACCAACACAATCACCCAATGCCGGAGGGAGTCCGATCATATGCGATCCAACCTGGTTGCTCATGCTCATAACCGCCTTCCTTATGCCGTTGTTGCGGTAGAGGTTGAGTACATCAAACCCTCCTCACACTCCGCACCCTGTAATGGTGGTGGGGATGGAACCAAAAATCTTGATTTGGCAGTAAAACTAGTCAAATGTAATTAAAATTCAATTTTTAAGAATTTTGTGGGCACTTTGATTTCACTTTGGGAAAGATATATCATTATTATCTTGATGAAAGATTTAAAATAAAAATGTATGGTTTTGACTGAACAAAAATCTCACAAACTTTAACAAAATGCAATCATCAGGAATAATGCAGAGAAGTGTTTTAATAATTTTTATGAGGATTAGCTATAAAATTTGTCATTTAAAAAGTGACAAGTAAAAATGTTAGCACATATGTTATTATTGTTGTTGTTGGCATTTTTGCCATCTTGGTCACCTAATTCTTTAGGGCACCCTTGGCTTAATTTTCTAGGGGATGTTTTCTGTTTTATGAAAACTGAAAATTAGGAAAGTGTACAAAAACATGCTTGGTCTGCATTTTTCAAGAATCATTTTTGAAAACTTGGTTAAAAAAAATGTATCTTCTTTTATGGTTATCTGAAATAATTTTCTATTTAATAAGTTCTTGAAAGCTTTTTCTGAGTGACAAACTAAACAGGTTATTAGTTTCTCCTCTTTTCCAATACTTTCATAACTGTCATATGTGATTAAAATATAATTTTAGATATTTTTCTCAAATACCATATTAACCAAAATGCTTGACAAGGAAAGTTTATCTACTTTTATTAAACATAAGGGGACATTAATGTAATTTTTCTTTTCTCCTCTTGAATCACATAATGTATGTGTATGCAAATGTTAATGGAGTAATGATATCTTCAAGTTACGACTACTGTAAAGTCTGTAAGAATGAATTTCTATTTTTGTTTCACAAGATTTGGACGGGAATGACATTTAACTTAATGATATAACATTTTCATCGCGGAATAGTAGGAGAGGAATTCAAGTCCGAATGTGTGCAAAAAGACGTGTTTGAGTGTGTGTTCCCTGCCAGTGCAATAAAAAGAGTTAGCTACAATTCCGAACCCTCTGTATTTTTTTTCCTTCCTCTAGCTCACTATATGTAGTAGTAGGTGTTCTAGCATATCATGTAGTTTAGCTTATTCCCTTAAAATTAAAATGTAGACCACACAACAATATTTTGACAAAACGTTTGTTGAAATAAATATATGACAAGAAATGGAAGGGCAAAATCATTTTACATTTGTGAAAAATGTTGGAATAACACCTTTGATAATGAAAATGAGGGGACATCAAATAAGAGGATTTGTTATTTATGAAAAAAAAAAAAAAAAAAAAGCTAAGAGGATTTGTTATTTGTTGAAATAAATATATGACAAGAAATGGAAGGACAAAATCATTTTACATTTGTGAAAAATGTTGGAATAACACCTTTGATAATGAAAATGAGGGGACATCAAATAAGAGGATTTGTTATTTATGAAAAAAAAAAAAAGCTAAGAGGTGATTTCATGTGAGGAAAGATCAACTATGGAGTGAGAAAGAAAGTGTCAAAAGAAGACTATCAAAATTAACACATAACAAAAATAGTGATATGGTGTATTATATAGCTTAATCAATGTCATAACTTTTATCCTTCTTTTCTCAACTCTCTTTTTCTTTCTATTTTCTCACCTTGCCAAAGTAGACTAATTTAGTCACCAAAATTGTGATGGCAAAGTAAAAAAATTATTCATAATATATTTTCAAGGCTGTCATTGGTGACATGAAATTAGAGTCTTAAAATTGAAATTAATAGAAGTGAAAAAAATTTATGATTTAATTTTTTGAATTATTTTTCTCAAATTTTATCGATTCTAATTTAAAAACTCTAATTTCATACACGTCAAACATAACATTAAAGTATTTCATATTACAAAACACATCACGCACCTCGCACCATCAAATTATCAAATCTAACATTATTTTTTAAAAGTTGTGGCTTTGAAGTCGTACTCAAAAAGAGATGCAAATATAAAGGATTTCACATATAAAAATATTGGTAGTGGATTAAAGAAATGCAGATTAAAAAAATAATAATAATAAAAGATTAAACAAATGGCAAAGTGAAAATAAAAACAAATGAGGGAGAGATTAGAGAATTTGGAAAAATAGCGGACGCGGTCGAAGAAAGATAAACCTGTTTTCGCGTTTATTGCTGTACTCCACCTTCTTCACATCTGTCTTCTCTCTCTCATATGAATAGACCGCGTCCGTATATATATATAAAAGTGTACATGTATAACAGTGCATGTATTATCTTTGAACACAGAGGAAAGTAAGAGATCTGTGGGAAAACTAGACGGGTGAGTATAGATCTGACGATTTCCTCTCCCTTTTTCCTTTCCCACGACGCTGACTGAAAGAATCAAGAAAGGAAAGGAAGGGAAAGATGAAAATGGAATGGATTGATCGGTGTTGCTCCAACTCTTCTTCTTCATCAGTGCTTGTGTTTCTGTTTTTGTTCCTCTTCTCTGCTGCTTCTGCTTCCACTTACATATCAGGTGTGTGTTTGTGTGTGTGTCAATTCTAATAAACTGTCTACATCTATTTAATCAATTTAATCACCTTTCCTAATCATGCTATATAATTCTTGTTAGAGTTCTCTATCTATGTATACACACACTATATCCATATGTAATTATATGTGTGTATGGTGCAGATGATATTTTTGGGTCTCACTCTTCCACCGGCCGGAACCTGCTTCAGGCCAAGAAAGGTCTATTTTCTTTTCAATTACAGCCTCTTCTACACAAAATTATTTGTGGGTTCAGTTATAATGCATTAATCTTCCGGATTCATGAGCTCAGATTTCAGTCTTGTTGTTGCCCCCTCTTTTTTGGGGCTTTTTATAGAATAAAAATTACATGAATTTTTTGTTATGCTTGGTTCACCTGCAAGATTAAAGATTTATGTCAACTTAAAAATGTAACTATCTCAGAGCGTGTCTGGAGTGAGAAATTCAGATTCCAAACTTTTGAGTCTTCCTCTTTTTTCTCCCTTTTTGAGTTAAATGAGTGCAATGTTATATGGGTATAATATGCTCTCTACAAGGACTTCACAATTCTATATATATATAAATATATATATATATATATATATATATATATCCGGTTGTTGTTGTTGGGGGATGGGTTTTGAGGTGGAGTCATCCAACAATAGAAAACAGAGTTCATAGTTTTTTAAAACTGAATTTCTTCCTGACTTAGCTAAATGGTAAGATGTTTTAGTAATATAGCTAAGGACAGCCTGTCATGTGTATTTTTTGTGGTTATGATTAGGATGCTTTTTGCTTTGGTGAGTTGATCATTTGTTACTTTGAAATTGCAGTATTTTGTTCTTTGAGGTTCTTGTTTAAAACTACTACTTTTTTTTTAGAATAGCGAAATACAGTAATAAGAAATAATAGAGAGAATTTCGATTACTTTTCACTCACCGGAGTGCTGAAAATGCAATGTAAATTCCACTAGTTGTGGTGAAAAAAATGTTGTAATGCAAAAGTTAATTGCTAAACTACTGGTCAAAAACATGATAAGCAGGATTTCCTGCATTAAATTGTGCGGCAATGTTGAAGTGGTTTCTATATGGTGGTAGGTCATTGCATATCCTCATACTTGTTATGATTTGCTTCTAAACATTTTCCAATGATTGCCATTGCATGTTGCACTAGTAAAAGATGTTGGCATGACATCTAAAGGAAAAAATGGAGTTATAGGGGTTCTGTTCTTAAGGTCTTTCACCAAAACATTCTTGTTGGATTTTATGACTAAGTCCTGTATTTATCAGGAGGTTTTGTGCTCTGAAATTTTGATGACTCCCAGCAAATGATAATATAAACAACAATAATATTAATTTTTTTAATAAAAAACAATAAATAATAAAATTTAAATATTGATTTATAATATTTCCATTCAATACATATATAATTGAATAAAATTTATGTATTTCATCTCTTGCGCAAGACCTCATAATTAGTATCATTAAATGTTTTTCTCAAACATTCTATGGAATCCTATTCATTTTTCCTTTTTTCAAAATTAGAAATCTTACTTTGAAGAACAATATTGGCTAAAAAGGAGATTTGGGGGTTTCTTTCAGAAGGGCTTAGGGTTGAGATCTAAGATTCTTATAATTCTTCCACTTGGTGCTTTTTCTTTGGAGAGAGATTAATATAGTAAAATAGGGAAACTGGCGGCTAAAATAAAGAAGATGAAATTTATGTGCATATTGAGAATTAGAAGCATCGAAAATTTGGTTAAGAAAGGAGAAAGTTTGACTTAAGAAATGGTTGGAAAACCTGAAGTTAAATTTTTTAAAAGAATTTTAAAAGGGGCAAGTTATAAATTATAAGATTGATATACATATAAGTGAAAGAAAAGAAAAATAACAAAAACTGCCCCCACTGGGCTATATGTGGTTTCGCCACTAACGATATCCATTTGGTAGGTTAGCATGCTTGCATCCCCCTACAGTATTATTACAATTATACATGTAGATCTCTTTACATGGTTATAAGGTTTCTGATACTAAGTTCATTTGAGGTGGAAACTGTATTTATTTGTGTATTTGGGCGTGTGAATTTAAATTAATGACATTGTAATGGAGTATGTAAATAAAACCATCATCATATTTTTTTAAAAATAAAAAAGAAGATGCTAGTTCTAAAAGACTTCTGCATCAAAATGAATCCATTGAACTCGTCATTTGATTGAAATAAAGTGAAAAATTCATATGTATCTACAAATGCTTTGCATATCTGAAATGGTTAGATTAGACTTCCCCCCAATGATGCCTAGTGATATTTTGATTCGTGTCATTTGCAGCTTGCCCTGTAAACTTTGAGTTTCTGAACTACACAATTATCACCAGTCAATGCAAAGGACCGCAGTACCCACCAAAACTCTGTTGTGGAGCTCTTAAAGAATTTGCCTGCCCCTATGTAGATGAATTGAATGACTTAACTAATGATTGTGCCTCGACCATGTTCAGCTACATCAACCTCTATGGGAAATACCCACCCGGTCTTTTTGCCAGTGAGTGCCGGGAAGGGAAGTTAGGACTTGAATGTCCTGCATTAGCACCAACAGAATCAGCCAATTCCAGTGGGAGTGAGATCATATGCAATCCATCCCAGTTGCTTATGCTCATAGCAGGCTTCCTAGTTCTGTTGTTGCGGTTGTTCTAAAAGCTCAAACATCATTTTCATTTTTCAAATGTTGTAATTTTTTTGTTGTACTTTCCTAATCTTGTGAGAATCACAGTTTCTAAGGGTTTAGACCATTCTTAGCGTGTATCTGCTCTCTTTCTAGATTTCATATTCTTTATCAAGTGTACCCCTTTCAATTTCTTTTATGGTTTGTGCATTACTGGACCATACGTACTGCAAAATAGAATTATTGACCTTCTGCAATAGCTTTTTGAGTTGAAAATTTAAGCAGATAGTGTTATGCATTTGTTGAATATGCTTTTGTTTTCATTTGTACGTATCTTCCGGCCGGGTGTTTTCTTTCCTGTTCCTTGGTATATTTACAAGCGTTTGTATAATACATGATATCTTCTATGTCTTTAGCCGGTTGAAAGCTCCATCAAGCCAATTAAGTTTTCTTTCAATTCCCTCTCTCTTCTTTATACACCCTCCAAGGCTCTGTTTGGTTCAATTTTTTATTCTGAGAACCGAATAATTGTGAAAGGCTGCATCCTACCAGAAAAGGCTTTGAGGGGTGCCATACATGGTAGCCATGTTGCTGTATCTATCAATTTATAGTTATATGATCAAAGACAGCCTGTTCTGATTATTTTGTATGTGCCATATGGCTGACTATGAGGATGCTTATGGTTTTGGTGACTTTTTGTTATTATACTAATTTAAATGTCTAGTCTTTTATTCTTGTAAACCATTATAAACCTTAATTGTTGTCCAATTAATAATGTATATTGCAATTTATGTTCAGCAAGCTCTGTGCTGTATGCCAACTTTGAGGTCTCTCTCTCTCTCTCTCTCTTGAATCATAATGGTTCGTCTTGTTGCATGCCAACTTTTATTGAGTAATTGTGTCTGCTGGTTTAAAATTTAGATACCCTTCAGATCACCTAAGATGGGTATTATTTGACATGCCAGGGAAGAGGAAAAAAAATATTAATAAATCATCAATTTCTAGTACTAAAAATGGCTGTGGGCCCCCTTCCGATTAAGCCCCAGTTAGCAACGGAGCCCCACAATTGTTGAAGGCTATTGCGTATTATTAAGAAAAACACTACTATATTATACTGGGATAATTACGAAAACATGGAGTTTTGGAGATTAATTTACTAAGTTATGGAGTCAAAGTCTACATTTTTCTAAATTATAGATTTAGGTACCACCCTTGTGCATTTAAGTACCACTTGTAAGTATCCCTCTTGGACAGAGGTACCATTTTTCGTGCAAATGACAAAATGTTGATTTTGACTTCATAACTTTGTAAATTAACCTCCAAAACTCCATGTTTCTGTAATTATATATATAAAGCAAATGTGGGGTTTGGGACTTTTTCCAGAATAACTTTCTCAAATTTGATGTAGATAATAACTCAACTTATTACTGTTAGCCATTCCCCGTACCTAGCAGTTCCATGACTAATATAATCGTGCATATTTTACCACTCCACCGATACTTCCATCTCTTAAATCATTTTATTTATTTATTTTTAAGAAATTAAATCAAACACACCAAAGCAATAGAGAGATCATACCATCATCCGGACTAGAGACAGTTGTTGCCAAAACAAATGTACAATTAATTATTGTCCACAAAAGCACGGCTTTGACAATTGCAAGTAGCCAATATTGATTTGGCAATAGAGAGAGTCCATTAAAAATAGGGATTACAATGAGAGAACTTGAGAAAATAAATGATATCCCAGTAAAATTTAACTTATTCATACAAATTTGAGTATATCACCGTATCATTATTATCATCCTTGATTTAATCCCACGTGAATGGTGGCCGCGTAAACATAACATTATGCTGTACATTATTACATTTCATCTGCATGGCATATACATTACTTTGCCATTGTGACCCACCAAATTACAAGATATATATATATGCTCATACTTCAAAATTAAGAATAACGGCTTCCCTATTTTCAGATAACAAAGTAACAGTATCACCTGACATCTAATATCTTAAAATCTCACAGTACTAGGTAAATGAGTTGGGACACTTTCACCATATTAGGCTGCGTCTGGACTTTTGTCGGAACTGCTTCTTTGTTATGCACCAGGAATTAGGGAAAGTGCTCAACTGTATTAACACGTAACAGATTCAGATCAGGGATCACTGAATAACGAATGGAATTCTTATGTATTGGGGCCAAGCCGTTTTAACTTTGAATGTGATTCGAAAGGAATCTTTAATTTCTTTCTTGCCTAGGTATTGTTCCAGTGCAACAGAATTCAATAATTTCAATCACTAGCTCGAACAATCCCAACTGGGATGAAGTGAGTGGAGAATATCTATGGTAGATTGACAAATGTTCTAATTCATAAAAGATATTGATAGATTAGCATGCAATATATGGCAACTTGCGTGGACGGCATATTCAAACAAGTATAGTGATGTACAGCAGTAGTAGAGCTTACATTGCTGACAAGCTTTGCCCCAAACCATGCAGAATCTGCACCATAAGGAGGAGGAATGACTCTTATTCCACTGGAAATGGGTGGGTAAAGATGTCCTTGGAGTTCCTTCTCTAGCCTTTCTGGACAAGACGGTTCAAAAAACAAAGTCCAGAGCATCAATTCAACATCTAGAGGGAAATCAATTTCTTTAATCATTTAAATTATGCATTACATTTTTGGTAATTATTTCTAAAATATATTTTCAATTCCTTTTGATTTAAAAGATTCCATTTCCTCTCTCATCTCGTACTTTGTCACAGCAAACAGAAATAGTTCATATGGATATCTGGATTCTACCTGCAAGTCCTGGCAAACAAGCCGACCCTCCAGCCAAAACTACGGTCTTGAACCAATCATCATCACCGGTTAATTCTGCAGCTTGGCAATGGTCCATGCAAAGCGACACTGCCTGATGCAAACCCATTGCACGCCTGTACCACAGGGCACATGTAACCAGACCACAAGGAGGCGAAGGAAGGACAAATAAGGACACACACAACAAGTAAAGGAAGCTTTTAAGAATGATATGGAAGAATTAATGCTAAATAACAATAACAAGTAATACTAAATATTAATTAATTCAACGAATTCCCCAGTCATAAACTTTTACATGTAATTTTCACATTAATTAAGTAAAAATAACCCATTATAAGTGAACTACAAAAAGATAAAAACCCTGTAATATATGAATTCATAATCCATCATTTTTTTATTTTTTTTATTTTTTTATTTTATCTTTTCTATTTTCTTGGTAAATAGTTTGCCCATGATTTTATTGTATTCCTCTACACATGAAGGACCATTCTATAGCCCCTCAAAGTCGTCAGCCCAGATCAATTTTTGGCAGCTGAGCTTCTTCTACACCATTTTTAAACTCAACTCGACAAAACCATAGCCCAAATATTAGGGATCAGCTGAATCTTGCTTCGCCCGTTTGCTTTGTCAAGAAGGACCAGCTGCTACAAAAAGAGATAAACCCAAAATCATATTGTATTTCTCTGCATACTAAGGGCCATTCTATAGCCCCTCAAGGTCATCAGCACAGACTCAACTCAATAAAGCCATACCCCAACTAAATGAGATAAGCTACACGAATCTTGCTTCACCAGTTAACTTTGTCAAGGGAGACCAGCTACTACATAAACAATTTACTGATTCTCAAGAACATCCAAAAGGGACATTGCAGGAAAATATATAACCATGTCTTAATATAATAGAAACCAAAATGTAAGGAGGCACAAACTTACACTCCAGCAATGCGTGGCTGGAATAGAATCTCGCCTGTTTGGAAACGTTCTTTTGATAGAGTAAACCAACCTTCTGCCGCAACTTCAAATGATTTATGTGTATCTTTGCATAGCTCAGATTCATAATCAAGAGCAACATAACATAGGTTCTGTTAGATCATTCAACAAAAACATCAGGCATCTAAGAGAATATCTCACAGAAAAAAAAGTATAGAATATTGTACCAAGTAACAAATTGAAGTCGAACATATAGGAAGGAAGCACATTCATGTACAACTGTGATTTCATTTTTTTGGAGAAAATATAAATAATAAGAAGAATAGAAAAAGGTTATTTTGTTAGATTATTAAGATATTCATTTGTTCCAGGCACATGTATTATGAGTTCCCTTCCTCGCTTGTAAAAAGGCCCTCTGGCATGTTATCTAGTTGTCCTTGGGATTATTGACAATTCACTTAAAATCTTATTTTAGGATTCATTTGTTTTAGCATGAGGATTTAACAGGACTTACCAAGGAGCCACTCAGTACAATATTACCAAGTAAGCCAAGACTATTAGTGTGTGGTTATCCACTGAAAATGATACATGTTATTAGCTGAACCAAATCTAAGGGCCATCCACATAAAGAGAATAACTGGAGTAGCGAGTACGCCATATTCTAGAATCTACAAACTTCTTTTAATATATTTGCAAACTATTTTCCAAAATCTGGAAGCATGCAAAGGTAAAAACTATAAGATCGGTTAAAAAAAAAAAAAAAATAAAGAATAAAGAAAACCTAGCTTCAGATAAGGAAGTAGGAACAATCTAATGATGAAAATCCCATCCCATGGCAAGATGCCACGTCTGAACCACACATGCTGAATAGCCAGCAACACACTAGCCTAACTTTTCAAAATAATGAGAATCAGTCAGATAAAAAGGACAGCGATAGTACCTCTTTCAATGTGCGTACAGTATACAGCGAGCCAAAATTTATATTTCTCTGTTGCATCAGCTCCCTAAGAAATCCTGTAAGTTTCAATGCTCCCATCCCCACGACTTCCACACCAACCTTGCGCATTACTTTACCATGTAAAACTGTAGAACAGAAAACATAGAACATGGAAGTCCCAGGTGATTTTGACGCACAATTCAGACTAAAACAGAGAGCAAGTAAAAGTGAATCAGCAAACATGAATGAACACCACGAATTACTTTATGCATACTCAGCATGGAAAACGTAAGAGAGTTACCAACTGGATTGCCGAAAACAGTTTGAAAGAGTAAAGAAATGTGCATCAATTGTACTGGATGTAAACAAAGCACCCATAGCTGCCACTAGTGACAACATTGCAAGGGCTCAATCTAAGCATTGTCCTCAGGAAATCAATTGCTTTGGGGGAAAATGTTTCATAAAGCTTTAAGTTCACTTGGACAGGATAACTGCAGCAAGATTCTTTATATAACAGTTCCAAATTAGGAAAGATTAAATAGAGATCAGTATAGCTTACTTGGAACAACTGATGTCTGGTGAAAACCAATATTAACAACAATTCCTGAAGTCTGTCTTGCTGCATATAAAGCTAAAGTTGCCTACACTTATGACAACAACTGCATTAGGAAGGCAAGAGATAACAAGAACTTCAGAGATTTACATCAGCCATTCCGGGAAAATAAATGACTCGGACCAAAATTTGATTTAAAAATCCGAGAAAGGATAAATATAAAAGCATCCAACTACTCATAAACCTTTAGGATGTTCATAAGAAATAAAGTTTGGTGTGTGATATCAATCTATTGTCCATAGCCTCATGGTAGGTCTGAAGTAAATATCCCCTGTTCTTATTCATGTATCACCGGTGGCAAAAGTAATTATTAGCTGTGAGAATACAAGGAAACCAATTACAGACGCTCATTATCCTTGCAAGTTCCATATAAAAGACAATCTGAACAGCTAATCAAATACCTAGGGCTAGATACCAGGTTTGATTACTGAAATCCAGTTTAAGAATGTGGCAGATCTCAAATAAAAACTGACACGATATCAACTGATTTAGCATGCAACTTCAGAAACAGAAATCGCATCCCTACCTTAAAATACGGAAAACATGAGAAAAAAATAATTGTAGCTTTCAATTTCTCAGGCTTGATGCACAATAAAAGGTCAACACTAATTCCTACCGTTATAAATATGTACCATCTGCCTCTAGCTTGGCACTACTAATCTAAAATTACTTCTCGAAAATGGTAAGAGGATGGATTTGAATTGAAAACAAGTTGAATAATGTTTGAGATTGCTTTCATGCTTTACTGGATAACATTAAGTGGGTCTTCTTGTAATTCAATTTTAGTCGGAGGAAGGAACTCCCTGAGAATGTAAAGTAAATTAATAGTAATAGAAACGTTTTCACTGAATTAGACCTATAAAACCACAATAGATTTGTCTCTATTTTTGTATACAAGAGTCACAAGATCAACTTAATTCACTGCAGGAGCAAAATTGATACATTGAGAAAAGAACACAGAAAGTTGGTGTCAAATATTCTTAAAAGACTTATTTCCCCAACTACTTCAGCAGCGACTAGTGGATGAAGATTACAAAGTATCTTATGATGAATACAAGTATAATTGCATATAGTCTATGGGTCTATATATGACTCTTACAACAAGAAAATATAACTCATAATCAATCAGGCATGGCGCAACATGTAATTTGTACGAATAATTACAGAGTCCTGTAAAAATGCATACAAACCTTCAAGTGTTTCCAGAAATTAATGATAAGGAAATTCCATCAAAATAATGATATAAGAGAATTTTCTTAAGCAAAAATTTGTTTCATGGGTCTAGTTCAAAGCCAAATATATGTAAGAACGCAAGTAACTATTAGGAAGCAATGGGAAATTATAACTGGAAGGACAATTATAGATTAAGTAGGTACACTAAGGTGACAGGATATGCAAGATGGCACAACTGTAAAATGTGTGATATATCTTCTAGGTCATTAGACTCTTATGCTCCGTTTGGTAAGAAGGAAGAAAATTGGATGGAGAAGAATAGATGAATGAGACATCCCTAGAAAAGAGATTGTGTACTTCTCCCTTTTTGTTTGGTTGGATGGAAGAGAAGAGAATGGGAAAATAACTTATTTTGTTTGTTAGGAGAGAAGAGAAGAGAAAGTGTTAATTATATAGAAAGTTTTGTAATTTAAAAACTTTTATAATAGTCTAGCCTTTTTTTTTTCCTTTGCGTCTTCCGTCCATATTTGGAGGGATGAAAATTTGTGGAGGAAGGATGACTCATCCATCCTCTTTTCGCTTCTCTCCTTGCCTCCTCTCTACCAAACGAAGGAAGTTAGTTTTTTCATTCCTATCTTCCCTCCATCCTTCTTCCTTCCTTCTTACCAAACGGAGCATTAAGAGCATTTCAGTTTCCTAATTTATAATTTTCGAAAATAAAAGTCACCAGAATGTACTAAAATACTCTACCTGATTGACGGCACAAACAGCAGGCACATTCATGTCAAACAGAGCCGAGTAGATGGCTTCTTTTAGCTGTCTTCTAGCTGCTTTGGCAGATTCAGTATCTGGAATAATAGATAAAGAGAAATCGGGCTATTTAATAACACATTATGTGTATGAAAAGAAAAAAATCTTATGTGCTCAGCCAAATCATGAATTACTTCATGAGACAAGGTGGTCATCTATCACATCATGAAATCTCATGAATAGATCAGCAAATGAAACAAAGAGAACGTTAAAATTTGCTGAAGGCTTTTGGGGTGTGGGAAACCGTTAGTCATTCACTATGGTAACAGGAATTCATCAAAGTAGTTTATGTCTTCTTCTTCTTCTTCTTTTTTAATTTTTCTTTTTGATAAGTATAAAGTAGTTTAATGTCTATTGTCTTCTGGGACTGAATTGGAAATGTAAAATCCTTCTGTGGGAAATCCAAGCAGAGCAGGAAGTATAGAAAACTGGAAGGAAAGTATGCAGCTTGCAAAAGTAAAATTTGATGGATCCAACTATTTAACCTGTATCCAGTCAGCATGTGTGTCATAATGAGGAATGATGCAGACTCTTATGCTATGTTCGGTAGGAAGGAAGGAAGGGGTGTGGAGAGAAATAGGAAGGAAAGAACGAACTTCCTTTGTTCGGTAGAGTTGATACAAGGAAAGAAAGGAAAATAGGAAGGATGACACATCCTTCCTCCTTTACAAATTTTCATCGACCCATTCTTGGGTGGAAGAAAGGAGGGAAGACAAATGGACTATTATGAAGTTTTAAATTAAATATTATCCTAAATTATACAAGTTTTAAATTACAATTCTATCCTCTATAGATTACAACATTATAAATATTATTGGATATAATTGTAAAAACAATGAAAACTTTATCTTTCCTTATCTTTTAATGAACATAGTAAATTATTAGTTTCTTCTCTTCTCTTCTATCCAACCGAACAAAAAGAAGGAAATACACAATCTCTTCCCTAGGGATGTCTTATCCATCCCTTCTTCCCTCCCTTCCATTCAATTTTTTTCTTTCCTTACCGAACATAGCATTAGCAATGAGGATAATGGAGATACAGTCCAAGAAATGTTTTAAACTTTAGAAGCCCCCAGACGCCGGCGGATCTGGCCAATGCAAGCAACTACCGGGTTGGTTCATTCGCCATCTTTCAAATTAAATAAGGTTCACTTGATATAGTGACTCCATAGCTAGTCTATGTGAACATGATCGCATATTTGCCAGCTCCATTATGCACGGAAAAGGTGTTAGCCACTTCAAAGCATCTATGGGAAGTATTGATCAAGTTCTTAAGAGAAATCTCAAGTGAATTGTAAGATATTCAAAGGTATTACTAGGGTCTCCAGAAGATCACTGTTAGTTTTTCCACATAAATTTAAAACTTGAAAACCAACCTAATTCAGAATGAGCCTTTTTCAGTATGTCGTGCATTAGAGTTTGTTGAATAACCAATGTCACAAAGGTGCATAAACAATCGAGCATCACAAGTTCATACATGTTATTATTATTGTTAGTATCACTATTATCATTATCATTATTTAAACTTATCAAAAAAAAAAAAAAATCATTATCATTATTTAAGGAACCATATCTAGAAACAATGGTGCTTCTGCAGTAACCAAATCAGCCCAACACTTCCCTTCCAAATGAAGTCAGCTTAAATTAAAATATTCATCGGGGAATGATTTTAAATTTAGGTGTATTTCTTACATTATAAGTGCTGAATTGTGGCATTTCAATTTATAGCATGTGCAATTATTAGAAGTGGCACCAAATAAAGATAAAATGAGGATCACCATCTGAGATGGTGTGACATTGTGCAATACAAACCACTTTATGAACTGGTACAGAGGAGTGATCTCATTCAAGTTGAGGATGTTAAAGAAAAATAGGAAGCAGAAAAGAATGAGGATTGCCAATGCGAAAGGACGTGGTTGCCTAGACTTATCCTAATATATGATTTAAAGATTGACTTGGGATGTTCAGTTTAGAAGACGCTTTCACGACTGGGAGATTGAGGAGGTTTCTCGTTTTTTGGAGGTTCTGTATCGCCAGGTGATCACAACTGGGGATTCGGATTGTTGGCAATGGGTTCCTAACTCTCAGGGTCGTTTTGAGGTTAAGTCCTTTTTTAGGTGCCTTTCGGTTGGTGATGGAGGCCCTTTCCCCTGGAAGTCTATTTGGCGTTCTAAGGCTCCCCTTAAGGTTGCCTTCTTTGCTTGGACTTCTATCCTGGGTAAGATTTTAACCCAAGATAATTTGAGGAGGAGGAAACAGGTGGTGGTCAATCGTTGGTATTTGTGCTTGTGTGATGAGGAGAAAGTTGATCACCTTCTTCTTCATTGTAGCATGGCCAGAGACTGTAGGGATTTGATGCTTGGATTATTTGGGGTCCAATGGGTTATGCCTTGTTCCTCTAGAGGGCTGATTGAGGCTTGGAGAGGTGTTTCTGTTGGGGATATCGTGCGGGGTGCTTGGAGGGCAACGCCTCTTTGTATTTGGTGGTGCATTTGGCTTGAGAGAAATCGGAGATATTTTGAGGGAAAGAAGAAACCTGTTTCTATGCTTAAGTTCTATATTATTTCCACTCTTTTTTGTTGGGTCTCAGGGAAAGATTATAGATCTTTAGAGGAGATTTTTGTTTTTTGGGCCTCTTTGAAGGTTTGAGGTGCCCTTGGCCCTTGTGTTTCTTGGGGTTCTGCTCCCCTTTTGAGCGTTTTCTATATAATCTATCTTCCTTATCAAAAAAAAAAAAAAAAATGATTTAAATATTGAAAACAACGAATCCATATGGCAGATCAAAGTAGTCAGGATTAAGGCTTGTTGAATCAAATTGAATTTAAAAAATAATCCATACTGTAAGCCTGTAAGCTAAACAAAATTTATAATGTTGTGTTTTAGGAACTCATTTTAAGTCTCTAACCCTCTTGAAATTTTTGACAGAATGCCCAGAAACTTCTTGCAGAAGACTTACTAATAGTCAAAATCATTCTGTTTTCTTTTACAGAATGGAAGAGTTTGAAAGAGAATTAAGCACGCTGTCAATATGTTTGAGAAGTCAATAATCCTTTAAGGCATCCTAAATCCTGTTGATTATGGTTTTCAGTGTATATGGATTTGAGTGTAGAGATGAAATGAAAACTGGTTTCTAAGTTACAATTTTCACGATAAGATACCCACCCACTAAATTACTTGATATTGTGATTCATGGTGGAGCTATAAATCTGAAAGTGAAGAAACACAAAATAATATATGTGAAATTTAATTTTCTAAACCTATTTAGTTTAAAAAGATGAATATGGATGAGAAGTATTCAACAAGTTCTAGATGCAGAGATTAACCACTCATTTCAAAATTTGCTTTTTAAAAAAATAGTAGATTTAAGAAATTTAAGGACTATGAACCTGTCAAAAGAGGAGACACGTCTTTCTGGACAGAAATGATTAATTATTCATAGTATTATTCCCTACAAACCATTTTGACAATTTTCAAATGCTTGTTTTCTTCTACTCACTCGTCAGTAGGATTAGCATTCATGTTTAGGACCTGTATTCTGCTCTACCTTTCCTTGGTTATAAATTTTTTTTTTTTTGATAAGTACCTTTCCTTGGTTATAAAATAAAAAACGATCTCTTCTCAAAACATAGATGTCAATGCCAAAGACAGATTCATCAAAGAGACACTGTACTAAACATTATACAAAAGAAACAGCACATAAACAAAACCAAGGCCGAAGTTATGGTCCTACTCAAAAGTCAAAAACACCAGGGGCTGGGATATCTGTCGCATGCTGCTCCCCATGTGATAGAAGTTTTCTGACTTCAAAATTTAACACTAAACAAAAGCAGTATGCAATGAGAGATAAATTTTGGATTTAATAAGAGTGTAGCTGACCATCATAATGGCAGATTGGAATGGACACAACAATTGGCTGCGAAGAAGTTTTCACCTGCATCCTGCAAGGAGTATGATCAAAGTCTTCAAAAGGAGAACAAATATAAAAAAATAAATAGAGCAGAAGCATCAGGTACACAAGGCTTTCCAATCGAAGGACAAAATCAATAACTTACATTACATAAGTTCAGTTCTGTATGCACTGAAAAAAATCTCATCAAATACGTAATGTCAACTACTTCAATGGAAGATCTAACTCGACAGAGTCTTATCTCAACCGGTCGGCTACATGAATCTCATTTCACCACTCTACTCTATCAAAGGCCATAACTTCAATTACACCGCACATCATTATATTTACTATATTTGGTCCTCCCTTTCCCCAAACATTACAACCTCAATATAGACTACATCACTGTTCCTCACTGAGTCATTGGTACAGCGACCATCATAGTTAATTTTCTTTGATTTTATCTCCAATCAGTGCTACTTCAACCATTTCAGGAATGTAACTATCCTTTCTATTAATAAGACACACACATCTCAACATATCTAAACTATTAACCACCATCTACTCCAAAAGTTTGAGCTTGTAAGGAGGGTGTAACTTTAATAATTAAATCCTTCAACACGCCCCCTCACGCGTGGCCTTATGGTCCAACACGTGTTTCAATTTAATTATCAGGGGTGACGGTGAGGTTTTGACACAGTACCTTGCCCTGCCCTGATACCATGCTAACACCCTCTACTCCAAAAGCTTAGGCTTTTAGAGAGGGTGTAACGTTAATACTTAAATCCTTCAATACAAACTAAACGTATTATTTCTATTCATAAGTCACATTTTCTAAATGTATTATTTCTTAACTGTGCAAGTATTATTTCTTAATTGTGCAACAGCCTGTTCTCTATAAGGCATGGTCGGTCTAATACCCATTCTATAGATAATTTATATTTTTAAGATATACTTTGATCAAACAATATGCTAGAAATATCAGCAATTTAAGCCAATCCTAACTTTGTTCTATGAGCAACATCATATCCAAACTCTCCATCTCTTTGAACAATCGAACCTATATAATGAACTGTTCACTTTTTATTATCTCTTGACCCCAAGAGAGAACAGAATCTAGCTAAGTAAAACGTTCACAACTTTATTAAGGAGGGACATTGTCATGAATGGAGCAAGTAAATGTACTTTTTGTACATTAAACAATTAAAATAGCAAATCTAGATTAAAAATAAAATAAATAAATCGTGTACCCATGCTCACAACCGGGAATAATACGATAAAATATCTATATAAATTCAGGAAGTGTTAAGACGCAATACAATACAACCAATACAGAGAACACAAACCTGCTATAAATTGTTGCAAAAAAATGCCGAAGTCTAGAGTACATTGGATTCTCGATGTTACCAAATTCCTGTATATCCAACGAATTTAAGAACATGTATGAAGTGGAGGTTTTTACTCTTTTTGGAAACTACAATTGAATGAGAAAGCGTAATACATCAAAAAACTGCAATGAGGTCAGGTATAAAAGGAATCTCACCAAAAATGTTGCGGAGCGGCCAGATGGAGAAGCGTATTTGCTCCAACCAAACTTGCAATAACCGGAACCACCTAAAATTCAAAAAAAAATGACAGTTCCATAATGTATAAATCTAAGCCGTTCACAAATGTGATTGAGATGATTGATATCGTGAATAGTTGGTTACTTCCATCCATTTATATTTCAAATGCCTCTCTTAACAATCTGAGAGAGAGTTAACTGGAGTCACAAAAAGACAGTACCCACTAGAAGTTTGTTCCAGAAATACTAAAAATAAAATCATACTTGACATTTTCTTTAGATATACGGGAAATTTAATCAATTTATCAACCATCACTTGTATAAGAATATGTATTTATAGTACGCCCCAAAATAGGGTATAAATGCATAAACATGTAAAGCTGAAGATGCACACCGTCGATAATGACGGAACCAGAGACTTGTACTCGCTGACCATAGATATGCATAAATGACAACTGAGACATTTGATTAGGAAATGATCTGCAATCACATACCATATTATTAGGTGAATAATGAAGCAGGAAGTCTATGGACAGCAACAATCAGATTTGTCAGATGTTACTGAACTCATACAAGTAAAAGAACAAAAACAAAAATAACAAGACTAAAAGTGACTTTTCAAATTAATTTATGTTCAACAGTTTAATTAGCCTATAACAAAATCAACAATTAACAGTTAAAGGGCCCATTCTTAGTAACTGTAATGCATAAAAGCAAATTCAGAACAAATTCAGGAACAATTCTCTTTTAGCAAATTTATAAATTGACATTCTCGTAAGTCAACTGATATCAGATATATACTGATATACATATACATTGCATAAAAAGCAACCGCAAACAAGTATCATTCCAATCAGTCAATTCATATATATATATATGGAATTGCTATTCTTATGAAGTATGTAAATAATAATAATAAAATAAAAATTGCTATTCTTATAACCCAATTTATGAAATACTAATCCTGAAATACAGATTTATGTATGTATATAGAAATTGTTCCTGGTCTGACAAATTAAGCGTCCTTACCGTTAGTCAATTCAATTAAAATGAACAACACTAAAGAAGTGAAAATTGAGAACTCACTGAAGAGTATAACCAGATCGCAACTGAGTTTCGGCGAAGAAGACGGAGTCCCACGACTCGTGCAGGTTCCGAAGGAAGTATATCCAGAGCAGATTGTCGGAGACGATGAGCTTCCATGATTTGCAGACCACGCTCAGTTTGGCCGCCTCTTTCGGTCCGACGAACTTCAAGATTTGCATGAATATGTCATTAGGTATTCGATCAAATGCCCCAGCGGAGGACTGAACCCACAGCAGCTGGTGCTGTTGTGTTGGTCGATCGGACGATGACGATGAGTTGGAGCTCGAACGGCTCGAGACTGATCCCCATACCTTTCTCAGAAGCATCGACATCGACTCTGATCGATCAATTCGCCATGTCTGTGATGGGAATTGCAGTTTTGTTGGAATTGAATTGATGATTGGGGAATTTCACAGAGATATTTTTTGGAATTAATTTCAAAGAAGAAAGTGGTGGACTTTGACACTGTCGAGACGCTGATCTGTGTGGGACCCAGTAACAAGACGCTCGTGATTCTCGCGTGGATTTGTAAAAATAGTCTTGGTTGAAAAAAAAAACCAGAATGATTTGGTCTGGTTTTGGAAAGAATCGAATCAATTTCCGTACTAAACGTTAAAAATAGTACTAACTCAGTCCAAAATTACATTGAATAGTTCAGGTATATTCTAAAAGAACATACTAAATTCATTTTTTTTAAATGAAACATTCCAAAATAGAAAGAGAATAAAAGTTTTGGGAGGAGGGAGTAGATTTTGATTCGTTCTAATTTGACTCAGTGTTAGATGATGATTATTATTCTTTTTATAGTTTTATTGTTACAGCAATAATTCAGGGAGGAAAATTAATAATTACGAATTTAATTTATGATATTAAATATGATATTAACTGATAATAATGTGTCTTTTATTACAAACGACATAAATGTTATCTAGAGAAAGTAGTGAGTAACCCGTGCTATGGTACGGTACCCTAATGGGGGTATTCAATACTTTTTCCTGATGAAGTTAGTATTATATTTAAAATTATATATATATATTATTTACATCATTTATAAGAGAGAGAAGTGAAATTATCTTTATATTTATTTGTTTTTCTTTCATACTTGGTTGTGCTGTACACTAGTTGTTGGATGAGTTGGACTCTTGCTTGGGTTCTTCACCTACGGTCTTGGCGTTTACCTATACTTCGTCCGCCTCTTGCTCTATAATTCTCTCCTTTTTCTTTCTTCTTTTTTCTTTTTCTTTTTCTTTTTTCCTTCTTCTTTTTTCTTTTTAGAAGTCTAATTCTCTTTTTTGATCTGCACAATTTTCTATCCTAATTCTTTCTTTAGTTTTTTTTTTTTTTTTTTTCCCAAGTATACTCAAATAAGTAATATTATCAGGAGAACCATCTCTTAACATGAGCAATAAAAAAAAAAATTACAATTTGGATATCAAAAGTTGAATATTAATTGTATTTTTAGACCTTTTATAGTAGAAAATTCACTGTTTAAGTTCTCATAAAGACCACTGCTAAACATGACGATAATTAGATGTGTGTAATCTTATCTCTATAAGAGTTATTTTCGATTTTAAACTGAAGACCTCCAAATTATAATGGAGTGATCTTACCATTGTGACTCACTATTGGAAAAAAAACAAACAATCTAGTTATAAATACCATAAGAAATGGTTGACAACTTTATTCACGAAAATCATACATGAATATCAAACAGTATATACCAATAGGCAGTTTAAGTATGGAAAAGAATCAAGTAATTTTGTGATAATACCATAGGGTTTGTTTGCCAATTGCTTGTGTTTTGTGTTTTTTATTTTTATTTTTCAAACTTTTAACAATTTCTTTATCAAACATGTGTTTCATATTTTTGCTTACAAAAACCTCGAGACAAATGTACGTTACTAAATATGATTCCGAATAATATTAAACACACTTCAAAACATAAAACATTACTTTTGATTTGGATCAAAGCAATAACACAAACCAACTTTGACTCCCAACACAAGCCCATAAGAAATGGTACCATCACTCTAACACCATAGCTCATTTGATAAGAACTCAACTTCATTCCCAGAAATTATACATGAATATCAAAGTGATATATACCAATAAGCTTTACCCTAGATGGAAAGGGCTCTCTCTTTCCCAATGAGAGGCTGAGTGTTTGAATCGGTGAAAAAAATATATATAGACGTTTGTTTGCTTTTCCTATTCTAAAATAAAAACCAAAGTGGTTAAAATTTAGTTTATTTTGATTCTCAATATTTGTTTCTAAGGCACTTCAATTTAGTACTATCAGAAAACTACTTTATTATATGAAAATCATCTTTAAAAAAAAAAAAGAAATAAAATATTAATAAAAGGACAAAATGATGGATTTAACCATTGCTAGCTGATTACTAGCCTATAGTCACATAAAAAAACAAAAAACTTTATTGAACAAAAATATCACGTCATTAAAAATGAATGTGACACTGTCAAGCAACTAAATTTTATGATATGAACACATGAAGTTCACTCAACATAAGTATTTGTTAATGGCATATAATCCTGAAAAAAGAAAAAAAAAAAATGGCACATTTTTGGCATTATTCATATAAAATGACTCTTTTTAATTAATTTTTAATTATTAATTTTTTTTTTTATCGCTTTAATTACTTGAAATTAGTTAGTGATATGACAGCAAAAATGACAGTAACGCGGGTAGGAATCGTTTGATATTCGGGTGGTTTACTAGTAGGGAGGAGCAACTTGACTTGACTTGATTTGACTTGTATCCATCATCGATGTCATTTTGAGGATCAACGGATAAAGATGGATATACTATATAATCTCTCTCTCTCATACACATCGTGATCTATTTGCCGGGAAAATTATTGTTCTTAGTTTCGTCAATAAAATTATCAATCAAAATCCAGGTCGAGGTTGGAGGAGTTGGATCTTTGATTTCAACCGCTGAATTAAAAAAGGTTCAAAATTTACTCATATCTATTTGTAATTCGCCTCCATATATACATGCAATTTTTTTTTAGGGTTTATTAATTTTATATTCTGTGTATAAAATTTTTTCCCCTCTTCACACATGCGTTGATGAATATATGCTGAAGTTTCGTGCTTTTCTTGGGTTCTACTTATTGATTATATTTGGAATGTATTTCTTTCATGATTAGAATTAGTGCAATCATCAATGTCAACAAAAACGGATGAATATAAAATTACTCTCCATGGTGGGATAAAATTTCTAACTACATGATTTGTGATTGTTATTATAGGGCAGACCACTGATTTTATTCTATATTACTGTTATTGTGTCTTAAATACTGTATTCCTTGATTATTTTATAATTTGTTGTAACTCTTAGTTGAGAATAATTTGCTATAAAAAGGAAATTCTGAATTTTTAAAATGATTTGCTTTGTATAGAATTACTATGACAACACCAGAAATAAATGCTTTCGTGTTGTGATGCTTTGTTGAACTAAGAAAGGTCCTATATAATTATGTTCTACAATTGGCGAGTGATATCCACCACACTTAGTCATATAATTTGTAATAGTCCTTTTCATTTTGTTGTGGTAACATTTTTTTTTTTTTTTTTTTTTTGTGAAAAGATTGAAGAGAAGAGCCATTTTTGGCTCTATGTTGATGCAGTCAGTTTTGCGATGGTATGTAAAATGATGGAACATACAAAATAGCGTTTTATAGGGATGCTGTTTTACAAAGGATGCATGTGCCGAGCATGTTGACATTAATGGAATGTGAAAAGGAAAAAGAAAGTTGTTAGTACGTGAGATTGTTGCCCAAGACTCTGATGTGTCAAAGCATATTGGTAAATTAGACCTAGAGAGAGAATGAATAGGTCTTATGGATCTTAATTTGCAACAAAGTAACTTTTTGAATTACAATTAATCCTCTTTAAAATTTAGCTAGTTAGTGATGATTACTGTGGTTTGGATTTTTGTTTATATCCGTTAGGTTTTGAATTCTTTCAACACAACCGCAATCATGCATAAAATATAGTATGGACACAATATTTTCATGTGAAAGACCATAAACAGGGAAAAACCAGACTTAGTCCAATGAGGGACAATCCACTGAATTGTTGATCTTCCTCAACTATATATCTATTGTCCATTAGCTATTTTATTCATCGATTCTCGATGGCATTACAGATTGGCTTGTTATCGGTTGCATTGGATCCAACCTAATACTTTGACCTGGAACAAGAGTCAATAATTACCTCTGTGTCATAGTTGTTAAATTGCCTGTACTGATGTTTAGATGTTGTGTTGAATTACAATTTTATTGTCTTTGCTAGTGCTCGAGCTAATATGCTTGAGTAATCATTGGTGTAGGTTTACTTGTTGGGCGAATCATGTCCCAACACCAAGTGGATGACACCGAATACATGGCAGATGATTATGAAATGGATGATGTAGATGATGATATAGTTGAAGAATTTCATGGCACAGAGATTGGTGGCACGGATTCTGATGTGGATGAATATGACTACTTGGTTTGTGATATATACCTCACAATTCATAAAAGTCTAACTTTAAATAATAGTTGTCATTTTTATGCTTTTGGCAATAATACACGGTTGCATCCCTTTTGGTGCCTTTTAATCAAATGATTTTCACTTATTCGAGGGGAAAAAAGGTTATATTTTTGACAACTGCAAAATTTATGTGTTTATTTATTTATTCATTTATTTTTTATAAAAAAACAAATGTAGAATATTGTCCTTATTTGTTTAATTTCCTTTATACTTGGATGATGTTTCCTTTCTGTTTCAAACACTTTAAGATGCTCTTTAGTTAAGCTTAATATACATAAAGATTCATTCTTTGGTTCCAATGTAGAATGATAAAATGGCAGATACTACTACTGCTGCTCAAGCTAGGAAAGGCAGAGATATCCAAGGAATTCCCTGGGAAAGGCTTAGCATCACCAGGGAGAAGTATAGGCAAACTAGGCTAGAACAGTACAAAAACTATGAAAACATTCCTCAATCTGGAGAGGGGTCAGGGAAGGTAAAACTTTTTTCCTTCATACTCCTTTTCTTAGTTGTGATATCAAACCCTTAGGTGTTGTGATTATTTATCATTATTGCCTTGTATGTCTATGGTAAATAGGAATGCAAGACCACAAGGAAAGGGGGCATGTATTATGAGTTCAGACGCAATTCAAGATCCGTGAAATCAACAATTCTTCATTTCCAGGTTAGTTGACAAGTTTGTTTCAATTTCCCTGTGAACCAAAATTTTTAATTTTTATTATGTGAATTGAATTTGCTTAGCTTTATCACATTTTCTAACATGAATTTTTGTTCTCTGTTTTTCCTATTATCGTATATGCTCCAATAAATTACTTTTCTTGTGGTTAGAGTCAAAGCACTTCATCACATAGCTAGTATTGTTCAGTGAAAATTTTATGTGACGTACTATGTTACTTGGACTTTAGTACAAGTGTTGGGTGCAGGTGCATAACTAAAGGTCAGATTCATCTGTTTCTCAAATTATAGTATTTGATACGGGAACTCGGCTAAAAAAGGGTCAAAAAAATTGGATTTGGGTATCTGGACGCTATACACATAAATAGACTTTCGTACTTTCCATCCCTCTCTCTCGATGTGGGTAGTGCATCCATTTATTCGTTGATATAACATGATTATTTGTTTGTAATTATATATAAACACAAAAATAATAAGTTGTAGAACAGTAGAAGTCTAAAGGCCCCTTGAAAGAAAAAAAGCGCTTTTTAAAGAGGATGAGTTGTTCTTAAGATATAAGGAACTGAAAAGGATAAATATATATATATATATATATATATATATATATATATATATATATTATCATTTTATCACATTAAAGCAAATGGCTCCATGTTATAGGTGTACAGCACAATCTTTATTTATTTATTTTTTTACCATGGCAGTATTCTCACACACCCACTTTTTGTCCCTAGCGGAACTTAAATCCTCGACCTTCTACATTAGAAGGTTGAGGAGATACCACTAGACTACAACCCTCGGTGGTGTGTACAACACAATCTTAACACGGAAAATAAATAATCGTACAACATTGAATAACTAAATTTCAGAAGCCTAGAAGGCCATGGCTCTTGGGTTTCCTCATCTGCAGCCTTACAGAAGTGGCAGCATAAGAGCTGTTAGGGAAATTAATTTTTCTACATGTAGAGACAAACTTCCACAAAGCCCAATGTGCCTTCAATCCAACTTTCGGCCAGGTGAAAATCGTGCAATTAAAGTGTGTAGAAACACTCGTCTTCAACCTTTTTAACATGCTACTTTTTGAGCCAGAGAGCTCTACACAACTGACGAACTGGAGCCAATTTAATGAAGAAACATAAAGAAAATTTTCAATGTTTCACAAGCATCCACAAACACTATCTCGTGTGAGTATTTCTTCATCAGGCGTACTTGATATAGGAAAGGAAGAGTCTGTCCCCTATCCTGTATCCATGTCGGTGTGGTGTCGTGTCAACACGAACACCTTGGGTTACCATGGCAAGTCCTGGTAACACCGGTGACAAGTGAAATAATTTGAAAGCATAGTTTTAGAGTCAACAATTAAAAAATGAAATTGCTATTGGTTGTGATGAACAGTTCATTGTTGAATTGTTTCCATTACATCAAAATTTGGGCTGTCCAAATTGGCTTGACCAGTTTGGTGAATGCATGAACCTAGAAAACTCTCTGAAGACCACAGGTAATGTCTACTCGAGTAATAGGTATATTAAAGGAAAAAATAATGTGTCAAGTGAAATTGGTCTAATAATTAAGAAGAGTCGGCGGAAAGACCTAATCAGTTGCTATCAGGGTGGTAGATGTTATGAAATAAACATATTAAACTGAGAATAAAAATGAAGAAGATGTTTAGTATGAGTGGCAAAATGAGAGGAATCACACCTGACTGCGATGCCAAGAAAATTGTGACTTTTCACCCAGATCATTCATAAAGGAGTTGGAGGACAGACGAATGCTAACAAACAGATAAGCGAAGCGGAGGAGCTTGGTAGTTTAACATCATTGACAGTTGATAAGGGAACTATCATACCTATAGGAAGATATAACGGAGATCTTCCAATGCATGTTGATTGTGCTTGTATATATGTCTAGCAGTGTTAAAACTATTGCTCGTGTAATGTGTCTTGCACATAACTAAGCCATACCCTACTCGACTAAAGAAATGTCTAAAATTCTCTGTTATATGTTGGTGACGGACTGAGGACTTCAATTGAAAATGTGATGTTTGGCATAGTCCGTAGTTAGAGGTCCGTTGTTTGTTTAGCTTTAGGGGGTGAGTTAAGTCTTTGATATGTGAGCATGTTCGACTGATATGAGTTTTTTGTTTGCTGAAGCAGTTGCGGAACTTGGTTTGGGCAACGTCAAAACATGATGTTTACCTTATGTCACATTATAAAGTCATTCATTGGTCTTCATTAACTTGTACCAAGTCTGAAGTTCTCGATGTTTCGGGGCATGTGGCACCATGTGAGGTGGGTGTTTGTGATTTTTTTCTCTATCTATTTGGTTTGCAAACTACCTTGGTTATATATATATATATCAGTGTGTTCGAACATTCTCATCTTGAGCTATGGTTTTTAATGAAACTAACCAATATATTATTTCATATAGAAACATCCTGGAAGTCTGTTAGAAGGTTTTACACAGACGCAAGTTAGCACACTAGCAGTAAAAGATAGGTTATTGGTTGCTGGAGGATTTCAGGGAGAACTTATATGCAAGGTATGTTAATTTCTTTTTATGTCGCTTGCACAAAGTAGAACAAGATCGTTGGATTAGTAATCATTGGTACTGCAGTTGCAAGCTTTCTTGTGTGCTTTAGAAAGTTCCCTGGCTTTCTGCTGACAGAACTTAAATTTTTTTTTTGAAAAGGAACTTTCTAAGCGCTTTATGTTGAGGAGTTCATCAATTTCCTCTGTCTAATGTACTCTAGACAGACCTAAGCTGTATGATATGTGTGAACTTAAAATTATATCAATTACTTATCTATATTTTCATCTTTCCTTGGGGCTTTAGCAGTTGAGGAAACTTTGTTACAACGGTTTGAAGAATTTATATATATATATATATATATATTGTGATTTGGGGGTAGATAAGGTGTGTATCAAAGTTAATGGAATCAAAGGTGTCTAATCATGCTTTCATTTGTTGTGATCAAACTGCTGCTGTGGTTTTTAAGCAAGTCCAAACATCAAGAATCTGGCATTTTTTCTTTTTCTAAAATGCAGAATCTTGATAGACCTGGAGTTTGCTTCTGTTCCAGGACAACTTACGATGATAATGCAATCACTAATGCCATTGAGATTTACACTACTCCCAGGTATTTACTTTGGTCTAGTGTTGATTGTGGAACTATTAGTTCCAATGATTATGTATTTGATTTATATTTTTTCATTTTCCAGTGGTGCAGTTCATTTCAGGGCTGCAAATAATGACTCTGGAGTTAGAGACTTCGATATGGAGAAATTTCAACTTTCTAAGCATTTCCGTTTTCCTTGGCCAGTGAATGTAAGTCTCTGCTTCTCCTTCTTTCTCTTTAATTTTCTCTCAGCAGACATGTAACTGGATACATAACTTCCCTCTCTCTCTCTCTCTCTCTCTCTCTCTCTCTCCACACACACACATACACGTGTTTCGTGACTTTGTGCGTGTCATCTGTAGGCTACAATTTGCAATTTTTTGGTTTATATATATGTGTCATCAAAAGGATATATGCTTCAGTTTATAAAGAAATTTTAGTTTAAATCGTATGATATATGAGCTACATTTTTGCAAATTTGTGGATGCATAGAATGATAATTATGTTGTGTTGAGGAGCTATAATTTTCTCCCCTACATATATATATATATATATATATATATTCTGCTGGCACGGTGGAGAAACTGTTGGTATTTAATTTCTTTCTTTTCTCTTCTTTTTTAGTTTGCATGTATTAGTAGTTTTTGAATATGGTTGTATATGATGATGAAAAATGGGTGTGTTCCTTTTCTGCAGTGGTCTAGGTATTATTAGGCCACTTCTATCATGATTTTGCTTTTTCTATGTCATACTAACTGAATACTGAGTATTACCCTTGATTTTGATGCTAAACTTGATTCTGTTTATTCTTCTTGCAGCATACTTCCCAAAGTCCTGATGGTAAGCTTCTTGTGATTGTCGGAGATAACAAAGATGGTTTATTGGTGGACTCCGGAACTGGAAAGGTTTTCTATATTTTCTATTAAATTCTCTCCAACCTGAAGCAAGTTTTGGGTATGTGTTTTGAATCTTGAAAAGGAAAGCATGTTCTATTTTGAATTTTGATCTTTTTTGCAGACCGTCGTGCCCTTTATCGGGCACTTGGATTTCTCATTTGCATCAGCATGGCGCCCTGATGGGCTTACTTTTGCTACCGGGAACCAGGACAAAACCTGCCGAATTTGGGATGTCCGTAATCTATCCAATTCGGTTGCTACTCTGAAGGCTAAACTTGGAGCCATCCGGTCAATCCGATACACATCTGATGGTCAGTTTCTGGCAATGGCAGAGCCTGCAGATTTGGTCCATGTCTATGATGCTAAAAATGGGTACGAAAAGGAGCAGGAAATCGATTTCTTTGGTGAGATATCTGGCATGTCTTTCAGTCCCGATACAGAATCCCTTTTCATCGGAGTTTGGGATCGCACATATGGCAGCCTCCTCGAGTTTGGCCGATGCCGGAATTACTCGTACCTCGATTCTGTTGTCTGAGTAAGGTAGCTCATTGTTGTTCTTACAATAGTAGGGCAATGTGGGAGTGATCATAAAAATGTAGGAAGGAGGGAGTGGATGTACAGAGGGTAGGAAGCATTGTTCCTGAAAACAAAAAGCTAGAACTAGGGATTGTTAAGGGTATCAGACATGCATGGGATTTCATGGCATTTTTTTGTTACCTTTCTTCTCGAGAACCCTGATTTCTTTCGAGAACTTCTGGATGGCATGCATTTATACTGCTTTATCCGTGTTAGTGCAATAGTCACACAATTCGTCCAAGAGATCCCGCTCTCAAGCTCTGCACGTGAATTTGCAATTTGGGAGCGAATTCGCACAGAATTCATGAATTCAATTTTTGCAATTCCATACGAATTCACTATATAAAGCTAAATTCCTATATATATATATACATATATATATATATATATATATGTAATGACGTCAAGACGTTTTCAAAATGTTTTAGACTTTAACATTTTTGCTCCCGCATTTGCTCCCGTTGTATGTGACTTAAACTTTTAAGTATATCATATCTCCATGAATAACCAGTCTTTCATCCAAAAAAAAAAAAACAACTAAAAACTAGGGAAATAAGCTAACCAAAAAAAAAAGTGATTTGCTCGCCATTATGAGGAAATAAAACTATCCGGAGAGAGCATTATCACTCTAACGCCATAGCTTCTTTGATAATAATAACATAACTTCATTTACGGGAACTGTACATGAAAATCAAAGCAATGGTATAACCATTTGATTAAATAAATAAATAAAATTTTGAAAAAACCTTCAAAGTTTGTTTTATTATTATTATCAATCTAGTTTCAAAGGCACTTCAATTACTACTACAGAAGACTAATTTACTAATTCCGAAAAAAAGAATTATATCTCTAAGTACTTTATTAATAACATATAATTCAGATTCATGAATACATCATCTTCTTGCCATTACTCACATAAAATGGTCAGCTACATGAATTGATTTTTTTATACATATTTTTTACTATTACAAGCTGTCTTTTAATATTTATTGTTTAAAATTATTTAATTACCTTAAATTAGTTAATGATATATGTCAGCAAAATCACATCCACATGCTATAGAGTAAAGGAGGACTTGACTTGACTTGACTTGGGTTCTCTGTATTTCTGGGTTTCGTCAATTAAATTATGAATCAAATTATTACGATCGGTCTCTGATGTAAGGAGTTTCAGTTCGAGATTGGAGGAGTTCCATCTTTGATTTATTCCACTGAATTCAAAAAGGTCCAAAATTTATGCATATGTATTTGTAATTCGCCTCTATATATATATATATATATATATATATATATATATATATGTTTGTGTGTTAGTGTGTGTATATATATATTTGTATATCCATGTAAATATGTTAAACACAACTTCAGCTACTTCCTTTCCCTGGCAAATTTTATGTATCATGTGTGTGTGTGTGTTCAGACATGCATTGATGAATATATGCTGAAGTTTCAGGCGTTTTGGGTTTTTAGTTATTGATTATATTTGGAATGCATTTCTTTCATTATTAGAATTAGTGCAATCATCAATCATGTCCACAAAAAACGGATGAATATAAAATTACTCTCCATGGTGGGATCAAATTTCTAACTACATGATTTGTGATTGTTATTATAGGACAGGGCACTGAATTTTTACCATCACTGTTATTGTGTAAGGAACATTGGTTTTGGGATGTTTATAGTCCTCATTTTTTTTTTTTTTGTTATTCTTTAGTTGAGATTAATTTGCTATTCCAAGGAAATTCTTAATTTTTAAAATGCTTTACTTTGTATAGAATTAATGTGATAACCCTGGAAAGAAATAATTTCGTGTTGTGGCACTTGACTCACGAGCCTAACAATCTTCCCCTTTGGCAATTCTGAATCGAAACTTGAACAGTAATACAAAATTATACTGTCTATAGTTTGATGATTTGAGGTAGCATCAAGCCTTAGAATTGGTTTTAAGATTCAGTGTCAATCTTGTAGGAACATAATTTCTTGGTGCTAGAGATGTTCGGTTTGGAGTTGGCTTATTACAGTCCGCATACCAAGGACTCCTGTTAGTTTAAATTTATGGCAGAGGCAGCTCCAGCTATAATGATTCTACTTATCAAAATGGGGAATCAGCCTTTGTAGATATAGAAAATCATCCAACTTAGGGACTGATAATCCTATTGAGTGCTGAAAATCGAAAATTTTCAATGGTTCTTAAGTGCATTTTATATGCATCTGTGATAATCACTTCAAAGTTAAATGAGAAGGGTCTGGTAGCAGGTGCCAATCCTAACTTCTCATAAAATATTGAACACTCTTAGTGGAAGGTGATTTTAGTTTCTTCCCTTAAATCAAATAGCTGCCTAAAATTTTCATTGTTGTCAATTCAGTACTGTTTGTTTTCAGCTATTAGATATTAGATAGTAGGTTTATATATATATAATTTTGAGTAAAGTGACAGTAACTGACTTTTAACTAAAAATGGGCCTTTCCCCTTCTACATGAACGATTTTGCTGACTTAGATTCAAATGATGGATAATTTGATTTCCACAAAGAGACATCCCTTGCATGCTTTGGTATGCAGAAGATATTATGGTGATTCATTTTCCTCTATCATATTTGCAAGTTGCAATCCATAGTTGTTTTACCTTAAAATTTGGTATCCATCTTCTATGTAGTAGGGCGACAACTCAAAACCATATAACTATATTGTTTGTATTGAATTGTTACTTTGGCTCAGCTATATATCTGTTGTCCATTAGCTATTTCTTCATCATTTCTTGATGGCATTGCAGCTTGACTTGTACTGGGTTGAATTGTACCCATCTCAATATATTTACCTGGAACAAGAGTCGGTAAATACTTCTGTGGCATAGTTATTGTCTGTCCTGATGTTTAGATGTTGTGTCGATTTACAATTTTATTGTCTTTGCTAGTGCTTGAGCTAAGATGCTTGAATCATCATTGGTGTAGGTTTACTTTTTTGGCGAATCATGTCCCAACAGAAAGGGGATGACACCAAATACATGGCAGATGAACATGAAATGGAAGACGTAGATGATGATATAGTTGAAGAATTCCGTGGCGCAGATTCTAATGTGGATGAAGATGACCACTTGGTTTGTGATATATGCCTCGAAATTCATCAATTTAAACTGTAAATAATAGTTGTCATTGACTCATGCTTATGTTTTTGGGCTTTTAATACACGGTTGCATCCCTTTTCACGAAATGATCTTCGCTTAACCAGGGAAAAAAAGAAAAAGAAAAACTACGTTTGACATATGCAAATTTTTTGTGTGTATTTATTTATTTTTTATAAAAAAAAATTCAAATTATTGTCCTTATTTGTTTACATTCCTTTATACTTGGATGATGTTTCCATTCTTTTTCAAACCTTTTAAGATGTTCTTTAGTTAAGCTTAATAAACATAAAGATTTGGTCTTTGGTTCCAATGTAGAATGACAAAATGGCAGATACTACTGCTGCTCAAGCTAGGAAAGGCAGAGATATCCAAGGAATTCCCTGGGAAAGGCTTAGCATCACCAGGGAGAAGTATAGGCAAACTAGGCTAGAACAGTACAAAAACTATGAAAACATCCCTCAATCTGGAGAGGCGTCAGAGAAGGTAAAACTTTTTTCCTTCATACTCCTTTTCTTAGTTGTGATATCAAACCCTTAGGTGTTGTGATTATTTATCATTATTGCCTTGTATGTCTATGGTAAATAGGAATGCAAGACCACAAGGAAAGGGGGCATGTATTATGAGTTCAGACGCAATTCAAGATCCGTGAAATCAACAATTCTTCATTTCCAGGTTAGTTGACAAGTTTGTTTCAATTTCCCTGTCAGCCAAAATTTTTAATTTTTATTATGTGAATTGAATTTGCTTAGCTTTATCACATTTTCTAACATTAATTTTTGTTCTCTGTTTTTCCTATTATCGTATATACTCCAATAAATTACTTTTCTTGTGGTTAGAATCAAAGCACTTCATCACATAGCTAGTATTGTTCAGTGAAAATTTTATGTGACGTTCTATGTTACTTGGACTTTAGTACAAGTGTTGGGTGCATGTGCATCACTAAAGGTCAGATTCATCTGTTTCTCAAATTATAACGGGAACTCGGCTAAAAAAGGGTCAAAAAAATTGGATTTGGGTATCTGGTCACTATACACATAAATAGACTTTCGTACTTTCCATCTCTCTCTCTCGATATGGGTAATGCATCCATTTATTTGTTGATATAACATGATTATTTGTCTGTAATTATATATAAACACAAAAATAATAAGTTGTAGAACAGTAGAAGTCTAAAGGTCCCTTGAAAGAAAAAAAGCGCTTTTTAAAGAGGATGAGTTGTTCTTAAGATATAAGGAACTGAAAAGGATATATATATATATATATATATAATCATTTTATCACATTAAAGCAAATGGCTCCATGTTATAGGTGTACAGCACAATCTTTTTATTTTTATTTTTTTACCATGGCAGTATTCTCACACACCCACTTTTTGTCCCTAGCGGAACTTGAATCCTCGACCTTCTACATTAGAAGGTTGAGGAGATACCACTAGACTACAACCCTCGGTGGTGTGTACAACACAATCTTAACACGGAAAATAAATAATCGTACAACATTGAATAACTAAATTTCAGAAGCCTAGAAGGCCATGGCTCTTGGGTTCCATCATCTGCAGCCTTACAGAAGTGGCAGCATAAGAGCTGTTAGGGAAATTAATCTTTCTACATGTAGAGACAAACTTCCACAAAGCCCAATGTGCCTTCAATCCACCTTTCGGCCAGGTGAAAATCGTGCAATTAAAGTGTGTAGAAACACTCGTCTTCAACCTTTTTAACATGCAACTTTTTGAGCCAGAGAGCTCTACACAAATGACAAACGGGAGCCAATTTAATGAAGAAACATAAAGAAAATTTCCAATGTTTCACAAGCATCCACAAACACTATCTTGTGTGAGTATTTCTTCATCAGGCGTACTCGATATAGGAAAGGAAGAGTCTGTCCCCTATCCTGTATCCATGTCGGTGTGGTGTCGTGTCAACACGAACACCTTGGGTTACCATGGCAAGTCCTGGTAACACCGGTGACAAGTGAAATAATTTGAAAGCATAGTTTTAGAGTCAACAATTAAAAAATGAAATTGCTATTGGTTGTGATGAACAGTTCATTGTTGAATTGTTTCCATTTCCATTACATCAAAATTTGGGCTGTCCAAATTGGCTTGACCAGTTTGGTGAATGCATGAACCTAGAAAACTCTCTGAAGACCACAGGTAATGTCTACTCGAGTAATAGGTATATTAAAGGAAAAAATAATGTGTCAAGTGAAATTGGTCTAATAATTAAGAAGAGTCGCAGAAAGACCTAATCAGTTGCTATTAGGGTGGTAGATGTTATGAAATAAACATATTAAACTGAGAATGCAAATGAAGAAGATGTTTAGGATGAGTGGCAAAATGAGAGGAATCACACCTGACATCGATGCCAAGAAAATTGTGACTTTTCACCCAGATCATTCATAAAGGAGTTGGAGGACAGACGAATACTACAAACAGATCAACGAAGCGGAGGAGCTTGGTAGTTTAACATCATTGACAGTTGATAAGGGAACTATCATACCTATAGGAAGATACAACAGAGATCTTCCAATGCTTGTTGATTGTGCTTGTATATATGTCTAGCAGTGTTAAAACTATTGCTTGTGTAATGTGTCTTGCACATAACTAAGCCATACCCCACTCGACTAAAGACCTGTCTAAAATTCTCTGTTATATGTTGGTGATGGACTGAGGACTTCAATTGAAAATGTAATGTTCGGCATACTCCGTAGTTAGAGGTCCATTGTTTGTTTAGCTTTAGGGGGTGAGTTAAGTCTTTGATATGTGAGCATGTTCGACTGATATGACTTTTTTGTTTGCTGAAGCAGTTGAGGAACTTGGTTTGGGCAACATCAAAGCATGATGTTTACCTTATGTCACATTATAAAGTCATTCGTTGGTCTTCATTAACTTGTACCAAGTCTGAAGTTCTCAATGTTTCGGGGCATGTGGCACCATGCGAGGTGGGTGTTTGTGATTTTTTTCTCTATCAATTTGTTTGCAAACTACCTTGCATATATATACATATATGCATATCTATGTCAGTGTGTTTGAATATTCTCATCTTGAGCTATGGTTTTTAATGAAACTAACCAATACATTCTTCCATATAGAAACATCCTGGAAGTCTGTTAGAAGGTTTTTCAAATACCCAAGTTAGCACACTAGCAGTGAAAGATAGGCTGTTAGTTCTTGGAGGATTTCAAGGAGAACTTATATGCAAGGTACGTTAATTTATTTTTATGCTACATTTTTACAGTTGTTTGAAGAAAATGATTCAGGATTTTATTTTTTTATTTTTTAGTTTGAAGAGAGTGATTTTTATTTATTGCTGCTGGGGTTTTTAAGCAAGTCCAAACATCAAGAATGTGGCATTTTTCCTTTTTCTAAAATGCAGAATCTAGATAGACCAGGAGTTTTCTTCTGTTCCAGGACAACTGACGATGATAATGCAGTCACTAATTCTATCGAGATTTACACTGCTCCCAGGTATTTGGTTTGCTCTAGTGTTGGTTCTGGAAGTATTTAGTTCCAATGATTATGTACTTGATATTTGTGTTTTTCATTTTCCAGTGGTGCAGTTCATTTCTGGGCTTCAAATAACGACTCTGGAGTTAGAGACTTCGATATGGAGAAATTTCAACTTTCTAAGCATTTCTGTTTTCCTTGGCCAGTGAATGTAAGTCTGCTCCTCCCTGTAACTGGACAAATACCATTCCGTGCGCTACATATATTTACATACATACATGTGTTTGTGTGTGTCATCTATAGGCTACAATTTGCAATTTTTTGGTTATATAGTACTGGTAGTACTCATCAAAAGGACATATGCTTTCAATTCATAAAGAAATTTTAGTTTAAACCATACGATACATGAGCTACATTTTGCAAATTTGTGGTCATATAGAATGATAATTATTTTGTGTTGTGGAGCTTTAATTTTCTCTCCCACAAATTATGTTTTTTTCTTCTGTTGCCGTTGTGGAGAAACTGGAGATGAAGAACAACAGTGCTGGTATTTATTTTATTTTATTTTTTCTTTTCATTTTTACTTTGCATGTATTAGTACTTAGTAGTTCTTGAATATGGACGTTTATGATGATGAAAAATGGGCGTTCCTTTTCTGTGGTGGTAGTGGTATTATTAGGCCACTTCTATCATGATTTTGCTTTTGCTTTTTCTTTGTTGTACCATCTTAATGCTGAGTAGAACTCTTGATTCTGATGCTAAACTTGTTTCTGTTTATTTTTCTTGCAGCATACTTCCCTAAGTCCTGATGGTAAGCTTCTTGTAGTGGTCGGAGATAACAGAGATGGTTTATTGGTGGACTCCGGAACTGGAAAGGTTTAGTCCAAACCGAAGCAAGTTTTGGATATGTGTTTGAATCTTGAAAAGGAAAGCATGTTCTATTGTTAATTTTCGATCTTTTTGCAGACTGTCATGCCCTTGATCGGGCACTTGGATTTCTCATTTGCATCAGCATGGCACCCTGATGGGCTTACTTTTGCTACCGGGAACCAGGACAAAACCTGCCGAATTTGGGATGTCCGTAACCTATCCAAGTCTGTTGCTACTCTGAAAGGTAACATTGGAGCCATCCGGTCAATCCGATACACATCTGATGGTCAGTTTCTGGCAATGGCAGAGCCTGCAGATTTCGTGCACGTGTATGATGCTAAAAATGGGTACGAAAAGGAGCAGGAAATCGATTTCTTTGGCGAGATATCTGGCATTTCTTTCAGTCCCGATACAGAGTCCCTTTTCATCGGAGTTTGGGATCGTACATATGCCAGCCTCCTCGAGTATGGCCGATGCTGGAACAACTCATTCCCTGATACTGTTGTCTGAGTGAGATCTGTACTCTACAAATAAATATGTAGGTGAAAGTGTACTTTGTTTGTGCAATGTAGCTCATTGTTGTTGTTATTTATAGTAGTGCAATGGGGGAGTGATAATAGAATTTTGTATGGAGTGGATGTACAGAAGGCTTGGAAGCATTGTTCCTGCAAAAAAAAGCTAGAACTAGGGATTCTCAATGTACCGGACATGCTTGCGGCTTCAATGGCATTTTGTCATCTGTGTGTATTCAAGAACCCTAATTTCTTTCGAGAACTTTTGAATGGCATTTATCCTGCTTTATCTATGTTAGTGTACAATCAGTGCAACTGATCGAAGAAGTGAGATTTGAGTACCATCTTTCTTGGAGTGACAATGCTCTTGAGACTAGGATTGAGATGAGCTCAATCAGGCTGTATGTTTTGTACTTATACTATGCTTAGTTCGAATTTTTGAACTAAATTTCCTTCTGTTCCGATTCCAAGTTGCCAATTCGGTGATTCCAAACGCAAGATGAATGCTTTCTTTGTTGTTGGTTGGTAAGTGCCAAGTTGCCAACACTCTACCGACATTAAATCCTTCAACCCAAGTGCAACTTAACCCGACATTCAACCCAAACTTCTGGAACCAACTTCAGGCTTACAAAAATTGGGTTGGTCTTAGCTCATGTCACTTATATTAAATATTCTAAAAAATAAACACATATATATAATATTACAAACAATTTCTTCAGAAATTAAATTTCAATAAATGAAAATCTAAAAGAAAAAAAAAAAAATAGGCGATCATGGGTATAAAAGTCGAATTATCCAAAAAAAAAGGTAAAAAGCGAGATCCTGGTTTGAGGAATTGAACCCGACGTGAATCGAACACGCAACCTTCTGATCTGGAGTCAGACGCGCTACCATTGCGCCACGGATCCTTTAACGTATGGGATTGCACTAATATTATTAGACACATATAATAGAATTATTGTTTACTACATCCTTGCCACTTAAGCAGTGGCTGTGATCCCCAACTTCTTTGACTGATCGACACAAGTTCTTTTAAATATTGCCTAGTATTATAGCTACCCAACCAACACAAAAACTCTAAGACCAATTTTATGCGAACCTTTCCTCTAGTTTCAAGTATAAACTCTCCTCTGGGGCAAGATTTAGTTTGCAAGAATTAAAATTAGTTCAATTCGATCGAGTCCTATGCAATTAAGGTTCAAAATTTTCGATTTGAAATTTTTGAGAGAATTGAGTGATTTATATCTATTTTTTAAGTAGGAATATATTAACCTTAAATCCTATAATTATGTGATTTGTTATTCCTTATAATTTTTAATTTTTGTTTAATTGTTTTAAAGTGATGCTATATTTTGAGTTCTAATTTTATTATAACTTTAGTCAAAAAGTAAAGTTAAATGAATGGTATAATAATATGCCTACAGAGTAATTTTTTTACATATACTGAAATAAAAATAAATTTCTTTTTCAATTTGCTGATTTAGCCCAACAAGACTATACTCCGTTTAGTTTAGCTTTTCAAGCGATATTTTTGACTTTTTGGGGGTAAAAGTTGAGGAAGGTAACGAATTGAGTAAATGGGACCAACGGGCCAGTGACTTAGCGATATCAGTCTCTTATTTTTTAAACGATATTTTTGACTTTTTGGGGGTAAAAGTTGAGGGAGGTAACGAATTGAGTAAATGGGACCAACGGGCTAGTGACTTAGCGATATCAGTCTCTTATTTGTAGAGAGACTTCAATTTTAAAAAAAGAATGAGTATGTATGAATATCAATTAGAAATTTTTTTTTTTTTCCATTAGTCGGAATAATAGATAAATGAATTGATTGGATATTGGATTATGTCAAAATAATTTTCATCCCACGTGGATGGAGAAGGACGTAGACTTGTAAAGCGTTATAACCTAAGTGAATATATATATATAAGAAAAAGAAAAAAATTGGAAAACCGATGGACCATCCTAACCGTCCAATCAATCTTCACTCACACCCTAGATCCTAGCCACTTGTAATAAACAAACTATTGACGCCTTTTAGTTTAGTAAGTAAAATATTGACACCTTTCCTTAATCCTTATCCTAACCTTCATCTCTATTTCACAGTCTTTTTTTTTTTAAATTGAGAACATCGAAAGCAACTTGAGCAAATCAGAGGAAATTAAAGGCACACTTCATCGTTTCTTTTTGGGCAAAGAAGGAACAGGTTTATCTATCTACTGTAATCTCTCTCCAAAATACTCTTATATATAATATATATATATATATATATATATATATATATAGATATAGACTTATCGTCTCTTGTTTTACCCCAGATAAAAATGTCGACCCATCAATCTAAAGACCCTACAACAGCCACTGCCAAGGTCAATACTGAAAACGATACAGTGTATGCACTACAAGCTTTGCAAAGTGAGAGCATAAATGGGGAATCGAACGCCACCAAGTCTTACCCTAAACCAGAAGCCCAGTTCGAAGAAGTTGCTCGAAACGCAGAGATTTTCTTGGAGAAGCTCAAGGGTTTTCACAGATCATTCGGTACCAAGTTCAAGTGAGCGCCATTTCATTTTTACCAAATCCTTTATCTGGGTTCACTTTTTCAGCTTTTGAAATTGGGTTTTTGTTGATTTTTACTTATTGGGCATGATTTTGGGTACATGTTTTGTTTTTCGATTGTTCCCGTATTATTTCGTTTGGATATCTTACATTGAACCCTGAAGAGGTATTGTATGTTTGTTTATTTATATGTATATATATGTGTGTAAATGAGCAATATATGTTTGCATGTGTGTAATGCATGTGAATGTAAACGTGTGTATATAGAAAGCACCATCAATGAGAGGCCATTTGATCGCATTGGTGACAAAGAGTGCCTTTTTTTTTTTTTTGAGAAATCAACAAGTGAATGGCTCAACAAAAGGAGACTATCTTGAACTGTCATGTTGAGTGAAGGAAATTAGGGGTCATATTAGGTTCTTACTCATTTCATAAATTTTATTTGTTTTTTTTTAAAAAAACTATCTTCACCATTTATTTTATCAAAAAAAAAAAAAAAAAAAAAAAAAAAAAAAAGCCCTAAAAGTCCCTGCATAAAAATTTATTGCTATCATAAAGATATCTTACTCTACTTACCCAAAAAAAAAAAAAAAAAAAAAAAAAGATATCTTTTACTTAAGAGTCCTTAATAATAGCAGTTGAAATGGAAGTGCTGAATATATTAGTGTTGGGGTTATTTTCAGAATTACCTTAATAATTTTTTAGTACCATTTATTTATAAGATTCTTAAGCAATTGTAACATTACTCATTTCTACCAATGGCAATGGTATTGGAAGACAGCCGTCTTCCTGCGTCCGTTCTAACCAAAAGGTGGGCTAGGGAAAGAAAATAAATTTCTGGAGGTTTTGTTCCGCCTGTAAGAACATGTAGGAAAAGGAAAAATAAATCAACAATAAATTCTTTAAAACAGAGAAAAAATTCCACTGAATTGAGCCCAACATTAGAATTTGGCTTATCTTAGTGAGATTTTCAAATTGTATGAGCACAACAGAAAATAAAAAATTCATAATTTTCATTTTTAACTTTGCTCGTCATTTGTTTTCTAAACAACCAACGGTGCAAAATTTTATTTTATAGAAAGAAAATGCAGAAAGTTCTTTGGAGATTCTAGAATACACATTGAGAAGAAAAAAAAAAAATCTTTGATCAGAAGACGCTTAAATCAAAGCCATTGAAGTAATGATTATCTCCACCTATCTATAAGACACCGATGTGTCCATATTGGAGCAAGAGCGAGTATGATGAAAAAGTAGAGGGGGTTGTGGCCGGTGTTGGTAGAGTGAGATTGTGAGAGAAGGTGATTACAGGGCAGTGTCAGGGCTAGAGAGGGAAACTAAGAAAGTGAGATAATAAGATTAGGATTTATGGTTGCACTAATTTAGTTAGTATCCGTTGTATTTGCTTCTCTTGATGGTTGGTCAAGCAACAAAAATGTTGTGTTTTGTTGTACATTAGATGTCCATGAAATCCATTAGCCATCTCCGACTCTAAAATCTCTTGCACTTACAAGAGTTGCTTCCTGTAAATCCAATTTTTTTCGTTACCCCACCCCCACCCCACACCCCCCCCCCCCCCCCCCCCCCCCCCCCCCCCTCCGTCCCTGTCGAGTTACTTCTTTCAGCGAAGTTATGTTAAAGCACTCGGCATTTCGGTGTTTCTTCCGATGTCTTTGATTGTTTGACAAGTAGGAATATGTCATGTTTATCTCGTCTTGTAGTCAAGATTTTATATTTTTGGCTCCTGCTTAAATTGTTTTTATCTTCGTAATGAACCCTATTCCAACTTTCCATAGAGGACATCCAAATTTCTACATATTTAAAATGTACCCGTTTCAAACTCCTTTTTATTTTCTAAATAAAACCGGTTTCAACTTTCATATTTAAAGATGACCACTAGACCCTTAAAATTATTTTAGTGATATCAGACTTCTAAAGTAAATAATATAAATTAAACACTAATTTTAATTGTTTGTCAACATCTTTAATATTTGTTTAAATAAAATGTTATAATACTTTCTATCATAGAGCACATAAGAAGTGGCATTTTTATTTTATTTAAAATTGGAAGATATCATAAGAGTGATTAAATTAAGGTTATTGATTGATATGGATTGACATATATATCTATTGATTAATAGTCTAGATTAGAATCCACTGCATAATTTTTTATCCATCTAGGTGTTTAGAGATAGAGGCATACCCCTCTATTTTATAGATGGGTAAAGTATTTTATAGGTGGGTAAAGTGTTTCTTATATAAAGAAAGAACTCTGTTTTATTTACTCTTCTTCTTTTTTTTTTTTTTTTCTTTTTTTTTAATTTCTCCTCTAATTCAAAAAAATGTTAATACGTACTTTTTTATGGTCTAGATCAGAATCCACTACTTCCTTTTTTTACTTTTTTATCCATCTAGGTTTTTAGAGATAGAGGCATGCTACTCTATTTTATAGATGGTTAAGTATTTTATAGGTGGGTAAAGAGTTTCTTATATAAAGAAAGAACTCTATTTTATGTACTTTTTTATTTCTCATCTCGTTCAAAAAAAAAAAAAAAAATGCTAATACTTCATACGCACATACATATTCGAAGGGTGTTTCTTGATGGCATAAAATATTATTTAAAATCTAAAAGTTTGTGGTATAAAATTTCTTCATACTAACTTAAAAAATTACTTCTCTTTTTGGAAGAAAGAAAAAGAAAATTAGTGTGGGGGACTTAACTTTACACCACCACCTTGTTCCACAAGGTAAAATTTTAGGACCTGGCTGCTGATTTTATTCCGCTCCTGGTAAAACACAAATTTTCTCGACTAAATGGTTTTTTTTAAAGAAGTTAGAAGTACTTTCAAATTAAGTTTCAAAGTGGGTAATCACCTTGAAGCATGATATCATGTTATGCTGATGCATCAAAGTGGATTGTATACCTAATAGGGATCCAAAAACAAATATTTGATTCATGGAGATTCTTAAATCCATTTCCATAAGTCACCTTCTGATGAGATGAATCGTTTCCTCCTCAGCATTTTCACACACAGCTGATTTTGTGGAATGTCTTTGTACTACAATATCACAGGTCCCAGCACTTGAATGGGCATGCTTGTGAAATGTTTTTGTACTACCTAAATATCCCAGGTCCCTGCACTTGAATAGGCATGTTCTCAATATTTAGAATAATGTAAGCTGGTAAAATGGGACCTTGAGTCCATTAATTTTTACTATCAGTAAATCCATGAAATTTATGTCCCGAGATTTTTTTTTCTCTTTAATCTAAAGATTTCATTTTCCATAAAGAATGTTACTGCCTCATTGGTTTCTTTTCCGCATTAAAAATTGCCTTGCTCTTCTGATGTACTTAGATTTAATTCTACATCTGATGCCCAAATAACGTCCCAAGTAGCTTGAGATATGGACTTCCTTTATTATTTTTTTCTTTTTTTCCAAAGTTGTTTGTAGATATACATTTCTGTGAATGATATCCTGATTTTTGTTAATAAAAGCTGGTAATTAATACATTCAATAAATATTGCAGTGCTTGATAAAATAGCCTTTGTTAGTAACTTTCTTGTATATAATTTAAAGAAATAATTTACACTTCAATCTTGAAGGTTGCTTTAATGCTATTTAATTATTAAATGTACTTTTCTTGATTGTTAAACATATTAGGCGACATGGCGACTAATAGAAAAGAATGGAGAAAGAGAATTCATGTGGCCGACCCTGTTCTTATGGGAACAAGGCAAGTATTGAATCAATGTTGTTACTCCTAGGCTCTAGTCCAGGACAATCTTGAATGGCGTTGGTACATTCTAGTAGGCTTGATGACTGGAAGAAGCGAAACAAAATTAGGATTTGGCTGAAAAAGAAGCAACACAATGGATACCACAAGATGGCCAGTGCGGACCTAAAGGTGCTTGATTAAATTCTTGATAACCCCTTTGGTTAAACAATTATCACAGCTACCTTAGTAGAAAGTTAAAAGGGTTGCACTCCCTTGGCCACCCATTTTATAGATTTTCTTGGTTCATGCCTGAGTTAACTTGGTTGAGTGATGAGCTTGTCTCTTGTACTTTGTGTGTACACGGAAGAGGTTTGTCTTTTGTGTACTTTGTTGTGTAACCGGATTGTGCACCCTCTGGCACTAGTTATTGAATCTTGCTTATAAAAGGAAAAAGGAAAGGAAAACTTTCCAACACTAAGTAGGCAACTTTCTCTTGGGAGCACTCCCCTCTTGAGCACCTTTTTAATGAAATCTTACTTGTGTGAAAAAAGAGAAAAAGAAAACCAGAAAGTAGGCAACAGCCTTCTCTAATGATGCAGCCAGCCATGTACCGTGTTTTGATACTGGGATGCCAACTTGCATTGCATCACAATAATATATAATTTTAGTATCTAAAGGTGTACCAATTCCATTTGGGACAGGACTATTCCCTTCAGATACATGTAACCACCCGAAATAATTAATATTAAGTAAAGTAGAAAATGAATAGGGAGAAAATTCCACTTAGAGAGTGCTCATAAGGCAGAATCTCTAATCACATAATAATAATTTGACTCGAGTTATTGCTTTGCTTCAAATCCACATTTAGAAATGCTTCATGAAAATAAATATTTCTAATTTTAATAAATATAATCCAAATTTAACATCTTGATATTTATATTTAATCCTTATATTTGCCCAAAATAGAAAATGTTGATTAGTTGAATTGATTTTATGACAGTTCTGGACACTGAACATTCATTTTGGTGTATTCTCCCGGCATGTTAGATGCATTAGTAAAATTTTGTTGTGACGATCTCCTGATGTTTTTTTTTTTAGATGAATTGATTTTATTTTCATTATGTCCATCAATTATTTACAGTAGATAATTGACAGTTCTAGACACTGAACGCTCAGTTTGGTGTATTCGCCCGGCATGTTAGATGCATTGGCAAAATTTTCAGGGGACATTTTCCTGATAAGTTTTTATTTTATTTTTTTATTTTCTCCTGTTTTTCTCGGATTAATTGATTGGAGAAGAGATTAAGTTTTGAGTTTTATATCTCTCCTTTATTAGTCTTTAATATTCTTTCTGCTCCCTTTTTTTTTTTTTTTTTTTTTTTGTAATTATTGCAGTTATTATTTTTTGGCTTTGTTCTCTAGTTATTTGTGATTTTATCTGGTTTATATTGTATTCTCGATTTTGCTGAGAAATATTTCCTTGTTTGCTGTAATTTTGTGTGGATAATTTGCTGTAATATTTTTAATCCTTTTTTTTTTTTTTTTTGTCTAAAGCTGTTGTGTTATCTTCTCACTTTCCATTCAAACATAAGATGTTTGTTATTGTTTCTCTCTCTCTCTAACCTTTTGAATTTGTTTACAAATTGGGTTATTTAAAGTGCTTAACTTTTCTGCAGCTCTGCTTTCATGTTTAGCAACATAGCAGTTCTTCTTGGATTTGGGTGTAATGGATTTCTAAATCTTCAGTGACCTTATTCTTACTCTCTCTCTCTCTTTTTCTCTCTCTAAGTGTATCTACTTCAGGGCTGTGTTATTGGCTCCTTATTTGTTTGAAAATAATCAATACATTATTAGGTGTTTTGAGTCCTTTTTTTCCATTTCATTATTTCTGGTTGATCTCCTTCCCTTGTATATTAATATTATTCTTTTGTTATCAAAAACTTTTTTGGGTGTGTAAGCATTATTCTTCTTTAAGTTGTAGTTAATAAAGAAATAGTCTTGGAGAAGTTTCTTTTTATTGCTTGAAACTATAATTTAGGTTATTATTATTTTTATTATAGCTATCTTATTTCTTTCTTTTCGTCATAGCTGTTATGTTACAACCTATGTGCAATTTGCCTTGTTATGTGATGATTGTCTGACACATGTTCCGTAGTACTTTGTTACGAGGATCAGACCATTGCCCATGACTCTGATACATCAGAGTATGCTGTGTCCCAATTAGACCTAGATGGGTGAATAGGTCTTAAAGAATCCTAATTGTCAATAACAGATTTTTGAATTTTAATTTAATTATACCAATTCATAATTTGAACCCCTTTCTATTCATGTGTTCGTTTATTAAATCTGATTTCTTAATTAGACACAACAATATTATAAAAGCAATAATAATCGAAGTAAAGCAATGACACACGCCACATTTACTTGGAAAACCCAAACAGGAAGAACTGCAGCGACAGCGTCCCAATGCAAACCATTCCAATATGAATGGAGAAAGTACAGCCCTAGGTCTAGAATCTAGATTTTTACCCTAGCATTATCTATATTGATTTACCTCTGATTGAGACTTACTCAACACTCCTCACGAGTTCTATTGTTGTTGATCAGCAAATCCACTTTTACACTGGTGATGTTTTTTAAGCTGTCACGCTATGTGTTGGTTAATGAATAAGTAATGGGATTCCCCCCATGTTATTTTTCATAAAGTCAACAAAACCACAAGGAGTATGTCTTGCCTTTGTTCTTGGGCTGTGCTCCCCTTTGAGTGCTTTATAATGATATATTAATTATAAAAAATAAAAAAAGAGAGTGTCTTCTGAATGACACTAAATCACACTCACAGTTAGATGTCAGGCATAAATGTGTCCTCACTTATGTTTAATTCTTAACCCTAATGGGAGTATTCAACAAATGTTACCAATTTATACCTGTGATCTTCAATGTTGTATATCATTTTCATAATTTACCTCTTATGGATTGAGAGGTAATCAACTTTCTCTAGGTGACTTAAAATAAAAGGACTACAGCCCCTGAATTTTGTTTTAAAATATGCCTCCTAAGATGTTTTATGTCTATTGATACAGCAACAGCCTGAGAAAGTGGTTAAACATTTTTTGTTCTACCTGTATTACTTTTTCTCTGTGATTTTTTTATTTTTTTTGGGGGCATAACGAGTAAAAGATATCTATTGTTATTAGTGAAGTGCAGAAACATATGGATTTTGTATCTTTCACCATTAAGAAAGATTTATATGACATAAAAGGTTACTAAATTATTAGAGGGGCAAGCCTCTGATGATTTAAGAATCAGGTAACAAGATAATTTTTGATCTGAGAAGTGACAGAGAGAGAGAAACCAAGATCTAATCACGGTTATATTAAAGAGGTCCCTAATCGGGTTAATAATGGAAAGTGGTTTGAGTTTGTTATTTATAAAAACTTGCTTTTTTATGGTATAGAGGTGGACATGATAAAAGAACAATAAGCGAGAGATAATATAGCATGCTTATTGGTTTTATTATATCCTCACTGCCATGATTTGATCTTAATAACATCTTATGTTGCGTTCCTGTGCTGTGCCTCACTCTTCCCAGCTCCCTAAACATGCCTGGAGGAAGCACGCCAAAAGAGTAAAAAGAATTTATGTAATTTACGTTTCCGTTATTTATTTTGCAGGGTACCCACTATAGGAGGAAGGGCTCTAGATCTACACCGCCTTTTTGTTGAGGTTACTTCCCGAGGTGGTATTGAAAAGGTATGTTTATCAAGTATCTGTTATTAGGTAAAATTACACGTGCCTCCCTGAGGTCTAGCGAACTTACTCGCAGGGTGAAATGTATTGTGCCCACCACTCCTTTTGGTTTTGTTTACTTTTAGATGTTATCCCTGATGTTATTCGTTCATTAAGACCGTTCAAGTTGAAATTTCGCAAAATGCCAAACTTACCCTTCAGGTTGATAAAAAGACATAAGTAGCCTTGCTTAAACATATGAAATAACAGCTTTACCAATTTCCCAAGATTCTTGGATAGACAAAAGTACTTTTTCGTATAATATATTTATTAAATATATGATTTGCAAATTTATAAAAATTACTTGACATTTTGAATTTGCAATTCATATTAACTATATCGTGTTTAATCTAATTTTCAAAATTAATTAGTTATAAATTTACAATTCATTCTTATTTTGGAATTCATTGCAAATTTACACGATCTAAATCAATTATAAATTCAAAATTACAATTATAATCAATGATAAATTTACATTTAATACAGTTCTGCATAATTAATGAAGTTTTGGTGGAGAAGTTTTAAGGAGTGGTGAAATTCTGCCACTTCTTCATAGAAGTGGCTGTTTGGTTTGAGACAAATAGGAGAGGAGAATAAGAAAGATGAAAAAAAATGAAGGCTTAAAATTCCAGCGGAAATGGATTTCCATGGCCCCTTATTCATCATTTTCTTTTATCGACATCGAGGGGCAGATTTCTTATAAATCTGTAATAAATATGGGTTCATAGGTTTTATTCAATATTTTAACCTCTCTGTTGAGTTAATTTCTTTTTAAATATGTGATTTTTGTCTGCTGGTTGTGTTCGGATTTGGCGGGAAGATAGTGAGAGAAAAGGTAAGGAGAAGTTTGGTTGGGGTGGGGGGAGAGAGGGGAGTGGAAGATAGATCTATGCATATATAGTTATATATAGATCAGTGATGGACATGAATATGTTTATCATAAATCTATGCTTATGCATATCAGCATATGTATATTTTCATGTTACATGCTGATCAATAGAAGAGAGAGGGGAGAGAGAGATGGAAGATGGGGAGTTTTAGAGAGGTGGGGTGTCAGTTGTGCTATCTGCCAAATTTCCAAAGCACGAGCAAACAGTAAACCTACAAGGATGAAGAAAATTGAAATGAATGAGTAAATGGTTCGTTCTTTAGATCATCAACACCCGTTGCACAAATTGACAAGATTAAAAATTTCCAATTCTATTAAATATGATATTCTGCCAAAAGAAGGGAACTTCTGGTGCACTAAAAATTGAAAGGGAGACGATGGTTTGATGGTGATGGAGAGAAGGAAATGGTGGTGGTGGGCAGAGGTAAGGAGAGGCTGAGTGGACACTTGGTGGAAGGGACTGATGGTGGCTATGATTGAGCGGAATAGGGAAGGAGGAAATTTATCTTGGAAATGAATAATTTAACATCAATAAAGCAATCAAGATGGAAAGAAGTGCGTAACTAAAGACTCCTTTTAATGTATTCTTCTTTTTCACCAATAAGTTGGGAAATGAAGACTCATACCTTGAATTTATTTGATGCTTGATTCATTAGAACCTTGATTATAAGATTTGAACTTAGCACTTGGTCATGTTAAGTTCACTAGATCTAAGTTAGAATGTTAGATATGTGTTTTAAAAAGAAGTTGAAAACCCTTCTATTAAGACCTCAATACCTTTCCTTACCCCCCTATGAATTATAAAACTAGTGTAGTTCTCAAATTTATGTCCTGATAGGAAGCTGTCAGAGGCTTTTGCTGCTGTTACATAGCAGTAGTGGGCCATAATGGCTCTTACACGTGGATTGGGCCGGTTGGCTTCTATTGCTATTATGATTCGTGGCCGGTAGCGGCTTTGTGTTCTATCGTATGATTTATGAGAAGAGTAGAACTACAGGTTGCACTGAAAGAAGTGAATCCCTTGTTTGCGCCAACAAAGAGACTTTTAAATCTGAGACAATAATAAACTCTGAACATGGTGAAGCAGAGACACAACCATGTTCTTTGGTTGTACGCGGAAATACTAGTTTTAATCATTTTAAATGATTCTTAAGTTTAATGACCGTTTTAGAGATCTGCATGGGTTACTGATATAACAAAGACCATCTAAAATTGAGGGCATGGGTGTGAGTGTCGTGTGCATATCCCTGTTCCCATTACCCTTACTACGTCATGTTTGACACGGGTAGGATTGTCGTGGCAAAGGCATAACACCACTGACTTGTAATAATAATTGCTTCTAGATATTACCAGGCGTACAAATAAGAAACCATAGCATCAATCGTCATAAAAAATCAAGTTGTTAATTGTATTGAAACTTTCTAGTTCGATTTTCTACAGAATATGAATGTCTTTCACTCTTTAGGTGCAAGGCACGTGTTTATGCTGAAAGCATGTGAACCAAAAAACAAGTTTGCCCCTTTCCTTTGATGTATGCTTGTTTCACTGCGTTTTTGAATTGTTATTGATGTCTGCAATATAGTGCGTTAGCATGTTTGCCAAGTTGTATGACCTTCATAACTGAACTTGTTGCAGGTTATTAGAGATCGCAAATGGAAAGAAGTGATTGGGGTCTTCAATTTCCCATCAACAATAACTAGTGCATCATTTGTCTTAAGGAAGTACTATCTATCGTTGCTTTATCACTTTGAGCAGGTTTATTTCTTCCGGAAAGATGTCGCTTCTATCTCAATTTCAGGTACTTCAAAAAGGACCCTTATTGTACGTGGTGTTTTAGTTTTCTTGTAAACTAGAAATATACATATTTCTTTTGTTTTGTTCTTCAGATCCTGTAAGCAGGATACCAGTCAATGGATCAGCAGGTCTACATGATGACACTGCCACAAATGAATTTCCAGGTCTGTGTAGGTTTCCACCTCGTTTTGGCATCATGACTTTACCATATAGGAACTCGTTAAATTATTTCACCTAAAATGATACCCGCTTTAAATAAAATTGCATGTTAGTGGAGTTGGACCCAAATTAAGAAATCACTGTCTCATTTTTCCATGGACATACTGTCCTCCAAGTGTACTAAAACTGGTGCATCAGCATACTAAAATGTCTAAAACTGGTAAATTAGCATACTAGAAGTGGCACATTTGTCTACGAAAAGTGGTACATCACTGTACATGGCATGTTAAAAAGGCAGTTTGGTAACAGAAAATGTGCGTACAATGTTGGCATACCATGTATAGTTGCAGTAACAAATTTGTTTTTCCATGTGATATACAGAGAGTCCTGACATGGAACCTGGCACTTTGGTGACTGGAACCATTGATGCAAAATTCGACAATGGATATCTAATTACTGTTCATATGGGGTCCGAGAAGCTGAAAGGTGTCCTATACCATACTCCTACAGAAGTAAACATGTCCCAGGGTTCTGATACATCTGGTGCATCTCCTCACCGGAACCGGAAGAGGTACCAGCAGGCATCACGGGATCTGGCTCGGCCCAAGCCAAACAGAAGTGGTTATAATTTCTTCTTTTCTGAGCAATATACCAGGCTAAAGCCTCTGTACCATGGGCAAGAAAAAGCCATCACCAAGAAAATTGGAGTACTGTGGAGCAGACTCACAGAGGCTGAAAGACAGGTATTGCAAACTTATTTTATGGCTTTCATCCTTTCATGCTGTTTTTGTTCTTAGAATTCATTACAATTGTCAGGCCTACTTTATTACCGTAGATTTCATCCCTTCAACAAGTAAATATACTTGATATGATTTTAATATTTATGATAATCTACTAATTTAATTAATATGTTTAAAGGAAAATATTACGAGAGTCATTTGTCTACTTCCTGTAAATGTGGCTGTGCCACCTTTCTTTGGTACCATTGTAGTGCATCCTTTTTGCATATTGATGAAAAAAAATTAGGTAACAGGGGTGCATACTGTGAAAATTGGAAATTTTGATTTAGATTACAAACTTCAATTTCTTTGTTTTTCCTTCAATTGCAAATGCTAGTGTGCTAATAATAGGCTTGAAAATACAACCAAGTAAAACAAAATGGTTCATTTACTGGTTAGAATATGTGGTATCAGTATTACTCATTCAACAAAATAGGAATTTGAATTTAGCGAACTTGAATGGTGCTCTTTCTGGAAGAGTTGGCTTTATTTGTTGATAAATATTGTCATTAACAAAAAGTAAAATATAATTGTACCGATGGTTACTCCTTTACAAAGGACACAGTATAGAACTTTTTCGAGTAGTTTGATAATTTTTATGTAGGACCTCAAATCTTTATTGCCAGCCATTAATTCCTCATGATGCTGCATTGCAGGTTTATCAGGACAAAGGGTCTACAGACAAGGAGAGATACAGAACCGAGATGATGGAGTACGGATCTTCCATTAATACAGCTGAAGCTCAATAAACTCCGACTCTTAGGCTATTTAAGCTACCATGCTTCAGGACATCCTCCATCTCCCCACTGTTCCCTTGTCATCTGCTATGTTGTTGTCAATGTTGTTGCTGTTGTTGTGGTTTTCGTTTTTCATTTTTCGTCTTCATATTTATCTTCTTCCTTTATAGAACTTGCCCCCACAAACTTTGAATTTGTGGGAGGTGAAGAGAGGGAATTCGTGTAAAATTGTAGCGACTATCATGTATCACAATTTGGGATTGCTGATGCACATTAGCAAATAGAATCAGGGCACCTGCAGCCCTCCTGTTGTATCAAACCAGATGTTTCTTTCTTCTAGTTCAGTGTTCCGCCAGAGACTGCTCTGTTCTGGGAGACTATGGAAGGTACATAAAAGAGTGAACTAAAATGACTTTCTTTCACTGATTTCTGTATTGGTTGTTGCATGAATTTCTGTAGGTGGCAATGGTATCTCACAAGTTCCTTCTCAGGTGCTAGGATAAAGTCACAACTCACATGCTTAAGTAACACCTCAGTCCTGTTTCTGAAGTTACTTTAAGGCCTGTTTGGTTGTGAGAGGAGGGGATTGAACAAGAAAAGAAACCAGTATGACCTTTTCTGTTACTTTTTCCTCGTCAGTTTTTTTCATTCTTTTTTCTTCATGAGATACAAGCAAGAATGTCAATTTGATATGCTTAACTGAATGCCCCCCCTCAACACAGCTTCCTTGTATTTCACATTGTAATAGGCTAGATGATATAAGAATTTAGAGGCTAAAAATGCTTTTTCTTCTCAATTTTATTCAATTTTCAAGTACAGTGTAAGTCATTATATTTCGCCATTTGGCCTATATTTTCAACAAGAACTTCTGGTTAAAAAAAATGTAGCTGTACAACATATTCAATATGGTATGATCTTTACCCCCCTCTGATGGGTTAAGTCAAACTAGTTTAAATTTACCGTGTGAGAGAAATCATGGAATAAAGTGGACTTTCTGAAGAGCTTGTTTTTGTTAGTTATTTCTTTCCTTATATTACTGTTCTTGACTGGCCAGAGAAGTCTATAAATTGATATTATGAGAATAAGAAGAGGTAATGAAGTTTGAACGACTTAGCAAAAAGAAAATAAAAATGTGACAACTAAAATCTCTTCCAAGACATCTTAGTGAAATTATTATATAGTTGCGAGGAAATTACATCAGCAAATGTTATTTAAGCAATGAAGGAATTGGTCACATGCAACTTTAGGGTTAAGTGAAGTAGAAGTGCGTAACGGGTAAAGTTACATACTCATTCATTTATATCTATTTTACTTTTCATTCGAATTCTATGTTGGACAAACATTTTTTGTAATATTTTTTCGAATTTGAAACGCTCTTATTGCGGTTGAATTGCCCTGCATACTCGGGTGGACTCACTCGGAGTCTTCCGAGCCGAATATTTGGTGTGACACCAGATCAAGGATTGAGTTTAGTTCTGATACTAACGGTTAGTAGTAGATATTTATTCATTTACTCAAACGTTTAAGCTATTGAATATGATTGCATATTTATGCATTTCACTTTTCATCTGGACAAGTTATTTATGCATTTCACTTTTCATCTGGACAAGTATCCTTGTAACCCTTTTGTAACGAAGTGACACTACTTTAGAAATCAACACACGCGTTAATCCCCCTTTACCTCTAAAGCCCATTTTTGTAAACGTGAAAAAAAGTCTTGTTAGGAATGGGAAAAGAGTTTAGAACTCATAAACTCTAAACCCCCATTACTAATTAATATACGTATATATATATATATATTTCTTAAAATAAGTCTTGTGAGGTCCAATCGATATATATCATCATAAACGCAACCCAATTCATTATCTAGGAAGTTCAAAACGCTAACAAGTATAATATATATTTACTGACAATTTTATTAAGGTAATTGATTTTTGTGTTTTGGAAAATCAATGCGCAACGCGTAACCTATGGCATGTTTCACACTAATGAGTTCATTAGGTGGGTCTCACCAATTTGTTTTGTTTGACACAAAGGATGAGAATTTTAAAGGAATAAAACGTAAAAGTAATGGAGGATGTATATGTATATTTTACATCCCAGAGGGGCATTAGTGTAAACTCAGGAAAAGAAAGTATTTTTACAAAAAGGGTTATATCTATATATATATATATATATAGCTTTCTTTCTCTTCATTTCCTTTTCTTTGTCCTCCTCCTCTGCCAAGCGGAAAGAAGGATAATTCAGCCGACGGTTTTTCCTCCCTCACCCACCTCCTTCCTCTCCAAACAGATTGTCTTCTAGACAACCCGTGCATTAAAATTTACATTAGTGTTGGTCAAAGATAAGGGATGAGAATGAGAATAGTCATGACCTTGAAATTGGATAGAGATAAGACCTGACCTGATTTATTAAAAGTCCAAGAGTTTCCATTTGTCATGTTACCTTTCTGATAAACTATATATATATATATATATAAATCAGTTAGTGTGAGGATTAGAATTAAAAAGAAAAAAAAAAAAAAAAAAACTATTTTAGGGAAATATATTACTCCGTAAAAGATCTTAATATATTCAATTACATTAGAGATTTTAGACAAGTGAGACCTATCTGCTTAGTGGGTCCACACTATATAAAAACCCAATTCATTGCGTATCAATTGCACTACAGCAAGGCACGAACATTTAACATTTAAGGAAAATATTAATTCACTTATAAAGAAAAAGAAAATAGAATATTTTCCTTATTATTATTATTTTTTCCTACTTACTGTAATCTTCTGTCTTGGACTTGGGAAGTCGTAGAGAGAGAGAGAGAGAGAGAGAGAGAGAACCGGAATAAGAGGCAAAGGGGAACGAAACGAAGAACTTTGACAGTCAATTCCCACACACACCACTTAATTACACTGACCCTTCTCTTCTCATCTCATCTCTAGCTTCCTTTCCAAGACTTCTTCAAAATTCAGAGTTTTCTCTCATCTGGGATTTTTTTTTTTGCAAGCTTCGTTTCTTGATCCCATCGCTCATCTAGATTGGATTTATATACATATTGATGCATTCATTATATGGTCATTGTTGAGCTGATTTTTTGATTTGGGTATTTCCTTGTTCTTGCCTCTCTCTTTCTCTCTCTATCAATCTCTGTTTTGCAGTAGATTTTTCTTCTTTCTTTCCTTGTCAGCTAAGAAACCGACCTGTTGTTGGTTCGAGTAGTTCTTTTTTTATTGGGTCAGTAAAATTAATCTTTACTCTCTTTCTCTACCCTGAAGATATGGAGATCTTTTTTTGATTTGCTATCTTACAGTTCGTCACAAATATCACTATATAGAGGTAGAGATACATACATATATATATATATATATATCAGCATAATTTTTGTTATCGTGTTTAATTGATTCTACAATGAGTGATGATTTAGAAAATCCGTATCAATCAATCAAAAAAGACGATGAGAAATTGCCTGTGCGGGAAACTCCAGTTTCCGGTGACCGGAAGCTGACGATAAAGTTGAAGATTCGGAATGTGGAAAAGGCGGTTGAAGAAGATCCGATTAGACCTCAAGGGAAGAACTCTCAGAGTAAGGTCTGCACTGTGTGCAAAAAAGAGTTTAGCTCTGGTAAAGCTCTCGGAGGTCACGTTAAAGTTCACTTTCAGGATCACAACAAAGAACAACTTCTCAAGCAGCTCAAAATCCATAATAAAAAACCCAATAAGTTGAAGAAACAAAATCTACAATGGGCCATCGATTCTTCCAGGAAAAGAGATTCTAATGAAGTCACCAATGAGAGCTCGGAGGGAAATGGAAACCCAACTGTTTGTTTGATTTGCAGAAAGAAATTTTCGTCGTCGAAGGCCTTGTTTGGGCACATGAGGTGCCATCCTGAGAAGGAACGGAGGGGAATTGAGTCGCCTATGGCGGGTAAGAACAGTCCATCTTCCTCTGTATCTGAATCCGTGCCTCGGAAATTTGATGATCACATTGATTCAGATGGTGCAACTGTGGACAACCCAGTGATTGATTTGATGGAGTCATTACCAATGTGGCCGGTGACAGGCAGGCGAACTCCGAGAGTCGTGGCCGACACATGGGATAATTCGAGCTCAGAGGAGGTGGAGGTGGAGGTGGAGAAGAAGCGATTCTGTGACGCGGTGGATGAACTCCTTAGGCTAGCTCATGATAATTCTTTTGACTCTGACCTCGTCCATAATGATAAAATTGAGGAATATGAGGTTGCAAACTGCAATGCTCTGACAAATGAGGCTGAAATTGAGGACAAGAACTGGGTTTCTGAATCGAATAAACGAAGAATTGAGGCGTCGCCTGTTGGAAACAGAAGGGATTATCCTGTGAAGAAGCTGAGAATTGAAGAAAGAGGGTTCAATAGTAATGGTGGACACATTGGTGTGGCACCTAAATATATGGATAAAGGCAAAGGAAAGGCTATGTTGGAGACTCAGAATTGTGAATGGGTTGATGCAAAAGATTGGAACAGAGAAGTTGAAGATTACATGAATTGTACAGATGATGAGTCTGATATCAAAGACACTGAAGACTTTTGCGAAGGACAGCTCATGAATTACAAATGTGAGAGAACTAGTCCTAGGTCAGTGATGATTAGTAGCAAGAAGATCAAGAGTAATAAGCCAATTGTGATAAGGAGTACTCCCAATAAGTACCAATGCAGCAATTGTGATAGGGTCTATTCTACCAAACAAGCATTAGGTGGTCACATGTCCTACCACAAGAGAGACAAGAACTTTTCATCTGCAGCTGCTGAGGATAAACACCATCACAATCCCGCCTCACGAGTGGACGGAGAGCTTGTGGAGAACACACACCAATGTGAGATTTGTAACAGATCTTTCCTTACAGGTCAGGCTCTTGGGGGTCACAAGAGGTACTGTCGATTGAGCAGTAGTCCGGTTGAAGCTCCATCGAGCCTAGCAGCTTCGTCAGGGGAAGGCGGTCAGACAGTTCGTAAAATTTTAGGGTTTGATCTCAATGAGCTTCCTCCCATGGAGGATGAAGAATGGTGATGATTATGAGCTAGTTGAATATTTCAGTTTTTTGCAGCTTCTAAAGGAACTGAGCTACTGAGAGGTAAGTTCCTCTAATTTTAACTTGTGATGCTTCAGCTGTTGAGTTTAGTAGTGGAAAGGCAGTGGCTTAGATAGGATTGAGGAACCAAACTTGGTTCCTTCTTGTTTTCTCTAACAGGCCGGCTTGCTGTGAAAGAGAGATTCAAAAGGTTTTGGTTTCTTCTTTGGTAGGATGAAAATGCAAAGAAACTTCACATAGGCTTTTAATTTCCAATTAGAAAAATGATATTTGAATCGATCATTCTGGCGCGCCTAAGCCGAAGACTTATTTGCTGTTAGATATGTTTCAAGTGGGATAATTCCCACTTGTAACATATCTAAGTGCATAAAAAGTTTTTGGCTGATGTTTTAGGCTTGAATTATCGGTTATAGTAGCATTGTTCTTCCAACTATGGTCTTCTGGGATTTACTTTTGTGTTGATTTCTTTGTTCAACAATATTAGATGAATCCAAGGCTTTCTTCTCTGCATATGGAATATACTTCAGTTTGAATGTGCTCTTTTGAATGACTGTTGCAGATCTTTGTTGTCTCATAATTTACACTCATGTATTATCCATATATTTTAAAATAAATTCTTGTTTGTTATATATTATTTATTTATTAAGCTGTGAGAGAAAGTGAGTATTATATAACTTACTTTGCAAGTATCAATTTTTTTTAATTAAGAAACACGGAACTCCCTCAAAGCTACTTGGAAAAAGAGTTCATAGTTAAATTATTCCAAAAAGTAGACTACTAGTGGCGGGCCATTGAAAAGGTCTTGGTGTTTAGAGTATTTGACAAGGATGTAAACTTCACCATCTTCCAAAGCAAATACTACATATTGTATTAGTTTAATTCTGAGATTGACCTAGAACCTACTATACATAGGTCACCCTAAACAAATAATTACATGACCCTATTGTTAACTAGAAAGTAGAAAGGAACTTGAAGAAAAGAAGAAGAAGAAGAAGAAGAAGAAAAGAACTCTTTACAAAGGAATAGATGACTTTAACTAACATTGTGACACCATATGCTTCTGAGTTCCAAATAGTGCCATGGCCACTTAACCTTATGAGTCCATGCATTTATATATTTGTAATAGGCAATCTCCACGTGCATATGTCATTTCACATTACTTGAATGATATAATCTTCTGGGTATGCATTATTGTGTAGAGTGATGCTATTTATGCCTATTTGTATCGTCGAAGAATGTAACCAATGGAGTTTTTATTTACTTAATGTAATAGATAAGCTCAAGTGTGGGTCATATTCACTATATCAAAAGGATAGAAACTCTTCGACTATAGAAATAGGTTAGAGAAATCGGTCAAAGAATCATTTTCCTATTTTGTACGGTTTAATTTTATAGATTGCCTCGTGTTGTTCATTTGCATAACACTAGTCAGTAGTCATGCAACACCGATACTAAAAGGTTAAAAAATATTTAAGGATTCAACAGCTCATCATATTTTTACTTTTTAAGTTTTATTTTTTCAATAAAATGATTTTATGCATTATATTGTCATCTTTAATGTGTTACTATCACTTCTCCTGTTAATGGCATTGCATTGTTATATGGAATTAGTTGCGCTTGGATGCCAGCCACAAGGCCAAAAAACAAGAGCAAGCATATTTCACAGTATTGATGTACACATTCTTTGTAGTTTTGCTTTTGGAAAACCTTTTTCCCCCAACATTAATTTGTACGACATTGACATGTCTGTGTGGCATGAAAGGCCAAGATGCATGGATTGTATACACTCTGTGAAGTGTATTGCTTGCTAGTTGAAGAACAAATGTAGGTTTCATTTCATGTACCTTACATAGTCATTTTATATGGAATTGTTGTCACAATACCATAGCTGTTGAAGAAGCTCTTACTCCAGAATCATTAGAACACTTGTTCCTGAAATGTAACATTACTGGGAACTCAGGCCTCTAGCTTCGAGTCTATACACGTGTGCGGTTTGTTTAGACAGGAGATTGATGGGAAGTGGGAACTGTGAAACCCTGATAAATACTATACACTTTAGCCCAACTTCACAGTAAGTTGGTGGGGGTTGCAACGGGCAGCGCCCCCTTCTTCGAAGGTGGGGGTGGGGGGCTTGGCCCTAGCTCATTTTTTAGGGGGTATTTTAATATATTTTGCACTTGTTATGTTACCTTAGTGCGGGAATATTTATTCATTTTTAAACTCTATATTTTTGGTTGTTTTTCTGAACATAATAAAATCTCTTTAACCCTTGGACATAATGGGTGAACAACTTGTGTTCTTGCTATTGTGTTTGATTTGTTTTTTGTTAATTTTTTGCAACATTGTTAGAATTTACGATGTTGTTGTCTATGGATTCTTGGAAGAATGAGGAACCTGAATAGATATTGGGTGCACCGGGTGTAAGGGGCATCGGCTCATCCGAGCCGTACGAGCACAACACGCCCCCGCATGTGCACTACATATATGGCTCGGCCAGTGCAATGTGCGCCGGGCGCTCCCATTACCTTCTCGAGGAACATAGAGAACAATTGATGGGGCTAGTGATGCTTATGTGTTGGTATATCTGGAAGGCAAGAAATTATCAATGCATATATTATCAATGGACTATTTCTATGTTGAGTTTGAAGGTGATGCTCAGGTCTCTTATTCAATTGTTTTCAGCTTAACGGTGGAGCACTAATTGAGATTCAGTTCGTTGTGGAAGATATTAGGGTAATAAATTTCAGTTGTGTAGTTTTTCTTACTATTGGAGAGAAATGAACAAAGTAACCATGCGTTAACAGTGAGCTCCATGGCAGAGAAGGGTCACCATCCCTTCTTCTTTGATATATATATATATATATATATATATATATATATATAGGTCATTAGAGCACCCACATTGAGCTCGCGCAACCCATTTTTGCGATTGCGATCCCAAGCTGCTATTTCCACGATCCAAGCAGGCCCAGAGCACTGTGTAATGGGAAAAAAGCGTAGTTTGCTGTAGCATTTCTTTTATCTTGCAAACACGATCAATCAATAGTGTTCGATGGAGCAATTCTTTTCAATACTTTGGCTTAAGTAGCACTTCTGAAAGAAACATTATTTCGCTCTAAAGTAGTAACTTCATTTAAATATGCAATTGTGTTTCTTGTTATCTCAATTCATGTTAGTCATGTTCTTTCTCATCTCTGGTCTTTAATCCCCACTTTCACACAGTTTTTTTTTCTTTTTTTTTTTTTTTTACTGTTTGCTGGGTTTCCCATCCCGTACTTCGCACTGCAATGCACTTTGTGCGTGGTTCCATGTAAACATTCACTAGTGTCTTGCATCAACCGCCTCTCTTTAACCTCATTACAGTAAAGCACAAACACCCAATACCACCAGTGACGGGATCCTCTCTAGCGGGTATCGCTCTCTCTCTCGTTTCCCGTGAATCTAAATATTAAGTTTAAAAAGAAAAATAATAATAAAATGGGGTATAATAATAATCTAATTGTTATCATTTCTTTTCTCTCATCTAAGTTTTCAAACAAAAATATTATTATTTATTGAAACGAAGCCAAAGTGAATTATTAAGTGACGTGACTTTTTCTCAACCCTTAGTTCTAATTTCACGAAAACAGGAGAGAGATCCTAATAGAGAGGATCTAAGTCCCTCCACCCCACCAGGCAATTTCCCAAAGAGCCAAACACTAGCAATACTATGAAACAATTATCCATCAACAACGTACCAGCATCGTCAACCTGCATGCACCACTTCACCATCATAGAGTAGAGCCATCATCGCCGTTTTCTTAGCACATGTCGGAAAATTTAGGGTTGCAAGGACATTCTCTTTTGTTCATCTTCCAAACAGTGGGCAAACTGCGTGGATACCTAAAAGATTTTCATTTCCAACAACCTTTAAAAATTGCTTTAGGACCATATACTTCAAGAGAAGCAACCATTAAATGCAAAACTTCCTGAGATTGCAGAAAATTGCATGGTAGAACCCTGCATCATTATTTTCTTGTAACTAAGTCATATTCTTACTTTAGCCAGAAACATTTATTAAATGAAATGTTATCCTTGTGATTTAAATTTTAGAACTATGTAAATGAAGTAAACAAGAGTCACCAGTACAATGAAAGAAAATACAATGAACAAAAATAGATGAGACAAGGTGTGTTGGATCTAACTCAAAACTTCTACAACAAACTAATTTGACATTCAAACATCTGCTTAGAGATATTGAAAAATACCAAAAAAAAAAAAGGAACTACATGTTCTCAAAACTAGGTGGGTACAACCCCTGCATTATGGGGTGATAAGCGCAAGAGAAGCAGTACAAAGGCTACAACCAGCAGTATAAACTGTATAATAAGCATCGATGTAACATTACATATCCTCTTCTCCAGATTGAGAACCTCATCGTTCTCTATGATATCTTCACGACAACCTTGCAACTTCTCAGCTTGTCTCTTTAGCAGTGCACCCATGCTTTCTGCATCTTCGAGCGTGTTCAACATTTGGGCTTGCTCTAAAGCTAGAGATTTTTGTTGTTCATACAGTGTGATTTGATCCACTGCCGCAACTCTCAACTTCTGGATTGTTCTTGATATTGCTATATACTCAACCTCAGCTTCAATCTTTTGCTTAAAAAGACCCTCAATCTCGGCCTCCATCTCATGATAGTTCTTCTGCTGCAAATCTATGTTGCTTTCCGTCTTTTCCTTTTGGGTCTTGTTACTCTCTAAAGTGGCTTCAAGTTCAATAACCTTGGCTTCCTTCTCCTTGAGCATGGCCCTCGACTCTTCAAGCTTGCTTTCCAAAAGACTTGCATTCTGTTTTAAGCTAATTACCTGCTTTTCCAAGCAAAGAGTACTTTGTCCAATCTCTTCACAGTGCAACTGATCTGACGAGCTTGCTTCAAGGATATTTGGATCGACAGCAGCAAACTCTGAAGAAACAATACTATTATCTTCCTTTCCAATCTCCATTAGTTTCTGAATTTCTGCAAGAATAACAGCTCCATTAATTGGATCTGTTAATAAACACTTCACAAAAAGACTGCCAATGTCAGGGGTTCATTAATAACACATTTTGCAAAAGCAGACGCACAAAAAAACTTCAACAGAAGCAAATATATATATATATATATTGTAAATCTAGATGTTAAATGTTAGATCTATGTGTAAATGCGTTTTTTATTTATTTGACACAATATGGTTTAAGTAGGAAAAATTAGGAATCAAGTCACATGGCTAGAAAATAATTTTATAATATGCTAACATTTTGAACTATTTCTTCGTTCTTTTTTTCTTTTTACGTTTTCCAAAATCTGTCTATATCCAAAAGATGAATAGTATATTAAACTAACAACTATATTAATAAATATATTATATGTTCAACTACTTCCAAATTAAACCGCATTTTCTTTGACAAATTTTTCAAGAAAAGTTTGTTTCGTGATATATAGACTAGAGACAGTGTTATATATACCAGATGGTGTATTGTTTTATTCAATGGTTTATCCTCTCTCTCTCCAACTTCTCTATGATTTTCTATTTTTTGAGATCTTTAAGCCATGATCTAATGTACTGCAAAATATTGTCTAATCCACCACATGCCACACGGTGTCTAGGAGCCTCTAAGTCAATCACCCATATTGCAACTTAACCATATTTACCCTATATCATGAGGCAAAGAAGCAATGTCCATCATCACATCATAGATTTAGTATTTATCTATTCAGGAAGAAAGAAATATTAGTCTTTATCCAATATTTGGCTATGCTTCTCATGAAGTTTACCTATATCTTAAAATTCTACTGGTGCTTTTGAGAAGTCGCTTAATGCAACTTTCATTGCCCTTATCCCTAAGAAGGGAGGTGCTTCTGACATTAAAGACTTTCGTCCTATCAGCTTAGTAGGTTGTATCTACAAGCTTCTAGCTAAGGTCCTTGCTCTTAGGTTAAGGGGAGTGATGGATGGGATTATTTCAGATTTCCAGAATGCTTTTGTTGGAGGACGACAAATTCTTGATTCAGTTCTTATTGCAGGTGAATGTGTGGATTCCAGATTGAGAAGTGGAGTTCTTGGAGTTTTGTGCAAACTTGACATTGAGAAAACGTATGATCATGTGAATTGGAATTTCCTGCTTTATTTGCTTCAGAGAATGGGGTTTGGAAGTAAATGGAGGAAATGGATTGAGACATGCCTTTCGTCAGTCAAATTCTCTATTCTTGTGAACGGGTCTCTTGCTGGTTGTCATCTTTCCTCTTTCTTATTGTTATTGAGGGATTAAGCAGACTTATGCGAAGAGAAGAGGATCTTGATCTTATCAAGGGCTTTATGGTGGGAAGAGATCCAGTTCATCAGATGGAGGTCTCTCATTTACTTTTTGCAGACGACACCCTAGTTTTTTGTGATGCTAATGTGTCTCAGCTTAGATATTTGAGGTGCATTTTGGCTTGCTTTCAGGCTGTCTCTGGTTTGAAAGTTAATGTGGCTAAAAGTGTGCTTGTGCCGGTTGGAGATGTTTAGGATATTTCTTCTTTAGCGGAAGTCCTTGGGTGTAGGGTGAGTTCTTTTCCAATTCAGTATTTGGGCTTGCCTTTAGGGGTTTCCACTAGAACAATGGGGTGTTGGGACCTTGTGATTGATAGGTATGCAAAGAGATTAACGGGATGGAAAAAGCAACACTTGTCTAAGGGAGGGAAAGTTACGCTTATAAAGAGCACTTTATCGAGCCTTCCTACTTATTTTTTATCTATGTTCCAAATTCCATACTTTGTTGCTGATAAGATCGAAAAAATTCAAAGGGATTACCTTTGGGGTGGAAGAGGTGATGAATTTAAGTATTACCTTGTCAATTGGGAACAAGTTTGCAAGCCAATGAAGTTTGGTGGTCTTGGTATCAAAAGACTGGTCCTTTTAACCAAGCTCTTCTGGGTAAATCGCTGTGGAGGTATGGAAGGGAAAGGCATCGCCCGTGGTGACGGCTAGTTTCATGTCGATATGGGGAAGAGAGTGGTGGTTGGTCTACTCGTCCGGTTTCTCTAGTGGGAGGAGTTGGGGCGTGGAAATTCATAAGGAAGGGACGGGATGCTTTTTCTACTCATATCAGATTCAAAGTTTGTGATGGCAGATGTGTACGCTTTTGGGAGGATCTTTGGTGTGGAGACCAGCCTTTATCTCGTTTATTTCCCAGGTTATACAGTATTGCAGTTGATAGACTTGCCTACGTAGCCAACTGTTATCAACTTGATAGTAGAGGGATTACGTGGGACGTGCAATTTCGACTCTCTTTTCAGGATTGGGAGGTAGACGAGGTATGTGTTTTCATGGATTTGTTGTATCGACAGGAGGCAATTGGCAGAGGTAGTAATGTTTTTTTTTTTTTTTTGATAAGTGGCAGAGGTAGTAATGTTATGACATGGATTCCCTCTTCCCATGGTCGCTTTGAAGTTCGTTCCTTATTCTTATGTCTTTCTGATTTCGATATTGTTGATTTTCCATGGAAGACTATTTGGCGTTCTATGGCTCCAACTAGAGTGGCATTCTTTGTTTGGACCGCTGTTTGGGGTAAGATCCTTACGATTGATAATCTAAGGAAAAGGGACAGTTGTCTTGTTAATTGGTGTTGTTTGTGCAAACAAGATGGTGAGTCAGTTGCTCACATTCTAATACATTGTCCTATAGCGATGGATTGTTGGAATTTTATCTTTTGTCTGTTTGATATGCATTGGGTTATACCTCGTTATCCTAAGGATTTGATTTTTATATGGAGAGGATGCCGTGTGAGTAGCGCTGTTCGAGATTATTGGAAAGTGGTGCCACATTGTGTTTGGTGGTGCATTTGGTAGGAGAGGAATACTAGAATGTTCGAAGGGAAAGAATCGTCCACGGCGAGTCTGAAACTTCACATCATATGCTCTCTTTTCAGTTATGTGAAGAGGAAGTCCTGTTCTTCTTCCGAAGATTTAATTATTTTTTTGGCTTCTTTGGATCTTAATCCCTAGTTTCACTTTTGTATAAGGGATGCGTTCCCCTCTTGAACGCCTTTTTTATTTCAATTATTACATATCAAAAAAAAAAGTTTACCTATATCTTAAAAAGTCAGTGAATCTGGTTGGTTCAACTGGCTGAACCACTTTCAATGGAATCCTATTGAATTTTTAAAAGAATTGATTTCTCAGGCAAACCAGTCCAAGAAATTACGGACTCAAAAAGGAAAATTAGTATTAATATGGGCCTCCTTAACTTAATCCTTATGGATTTTCAGTGGACAACCATTTATATTTTTCTTAAGGGTCTTCAGTCTACCCATAACAAACATAATTCTGTACGGGGACGGAGGCAGCTAATGCCCACAGAGGGCAGCTTACAATAGCACAAAATACCATATATATCTTTTGTAAACAAACCCCCAACCCCCAACCCCCACACCTCCCCCCCCCCAAGTTTTGCTATTAGCCTTTGTATATATAGGTGCATATTCAAGCCAAGAGTTGTATTTTTTAAAGTTAATACTTATCACAGAGGTGCTTTGAAGAAATGGAGAAGAAGCTAACAACTGAGATGGCCACTACAGCAACATTCACATAAAACTGATCCAACTCAGTAGAACCCATATCTGTCTATCTATTGAGAGATTCAACACTGCATCAGGAAAGTTACTTGAGCAATTCCAAGCAGGCAACACAACTGATCAATGTCATTGTATGTGCTTAAAAGATTAATTTAAATAATTTTTAACAGTTTTTGAAGAAATAGAAGTCGTCATCTCCATCATGAAGAGACACATCACAAGGGGTCCAAGTTCTTCAATAATTGTCTTATGTGATTGGTTCAAATGACCACAGCAATAAAGTGTTCTTTCTGCTGTGTTCTAACTACACTTGGGTTGTGCCTGAAGTCCATCTTTTACACAGGCGATCCAAACCCAGAAAAAAAGGGAGTTATGATAGGTGGCTGAGAGTCACATAAAACCTTTTGTGAGACCCTTGTTAACATGAATCCCAGATCATATAAAATGGCTAAACAAGATTCATGTAACTAACCCCAAATAGTCGTGACAGGACTTCTCACCATCTATTCTTAGTAAACCTGGACATTTTAGCCAGCCCTTACCCAAGCCTCAAGTAAAATAGTATCCTTGCTATCTATTTTCAAAGAAAGAAGAGAAGGATAACAGATGCCTCTTTGTGGCTCACAGAATAGAAAGAAACGATCTGTAAATTCTCCCTCATAAATATTGGTTGTCATTTAGAACGTAAAATTTCCTCCTCCACATTTTTGTTTTCCACATAGGCAATGTAATATGGTTGCAAATCTAAATAGAAAGCCAATATAGATGAGGATTGGGAAGATCCTATACGATATTCCAGTAGAACGGCAGTGGAAATGAGTTCACCATTTCACCCATTTCTATCTTGATAACTGATATGCAAGATTAATGTAACCAAACTAACCTTAAATAAATCCCAACCCCAACATACACACACTCAATAGAAGAAGAACAAGTATTATGTTACCAGCCTTAAAAAATATCCACCTTGGCATTGTCAGGAGTGGTTCCAACTATTTTCATAACAGCCTGCTAGATGGGATGCATTAAAAAACTATGATTCCTTGCTGGTAATAAGGATGCTCCAAACATATGTGCCATTAAAATTTTCTCCTTCCATCCATGAAAGCAAACATTACTCCAACTGACTCAACTTACAAAGGAAATCAACCAGTCTTCTCTCTTCTTTAAGCATTTGTTTGCTAACACCAAATACATACAATTAATAATAAATTCCCATATTTCATTTCATTTGTTCTCCAGAATCAATTGTTCTAACATATCAAGAGACCTACAAGGATAAACTTTTCATAGATGAATAAAGAAGAGACTAATTATGGTCTTACTCTATGAAGCATATATACTTCTACAAGGAGGATGCATCTACTTCCTAAATGTATCCATAAGTGAAAATAAATATTTTTCCAATTACCTGGGAAAAAATTCCACTTACTTTATATTTTAACCCATCTTTTTTCGAATTTTATTAAAAATCATCTTTAATTCCACATATCCACTGTGTGTCAACATATTCACCATGTGTCCATGGTGTGTCTATCATGTGTCTAAAAGAAAAAAAATATTTAGACACGTTTTTTTGGTGTGTCCGATGTGTGTCCGTGTCCGACACAAACTTCGTACATTTTAGGTGTGTCCACACTTTCTAGCTTTGTGTGTACTTTGAGACATATGTTTAACAAGTCTACAACAATAACAACAACAAAAAGCCTTTTTCCAACTACTTGGGCAGACTACACAAATCCTATGTTTAACAAGTTTTGAATGCTAAAAAATTTTAACTTTTCCAAATAAAGTATCATATTGCAATTTTTAGGAAAGACTTAGAATTTCATCAAAAAAGAAGTATTGACTAATAATGAGAACATATCATGAGTTCAGGACTGATTTAGTAAAAAATTATGTCCATGCAGAACAACACTTAACTTGTTTGTCATAATTCTTTTATAAGGAAATGTTAATATTTGCTTATAAAAGAATTATGACAGACAATAAGTATAACATGACAAAATAATTAATATTTCAAATTTTATACATAGATACATAAAATATTTTAATTTTAAATCTAAATTACTAGTAATATACATGTATATTTCAATGTTTTCACTGTATTTGTGTATCCTAGTTTTTAAGAATTTGTCAATATTGTAGTATTTGATCTATCCCATATTTGTGTCCATGCTTCATAGATCTTCCCAGAGCAAAATTCAAAAAATCCCTTGAACTATTACGCTTTTTCAAATAACCCCCTTTGATTATTTATTTGGTAAAAGAACCCTTAAAGTTTCTTAAGGAATTGCAATTACCCCTACAGTTTGTCCACCGTTAAAAAAGAAACGGAAATACATTCACGTGCTATGCACTTAACATATATGTAATACTTGATGACCATTATACCATCTTTTATTAGCCAAAATTTCAATCGATCTATTATATTACCCAAAATAAGGGCTTTGGATTCAATTTTTAGATTGACCCACTCATTTAATCTTTTCTAGAAACTCATTTCAACTTTTCTTACTCATTTCCTAATGTATATAAATATGTGTGTGTGTGTGTGTGTAATCGTATATAAGATATAAACTGGCTTGAGCTAGGTTCATACTATCCCCATGTGTGAGCTTATAGGGATGATATATTTTGATGAACCAACTAGACAGTTGTTCAAGAGCTAGAGTAATGCCATGCCCAGAATCTTTTCAACGGAAGTGACCAGAGGAGTAATCCGCTGCTGAGAAGGCCAATAGCGGGGCTTTTGATCGGTCAAATAGGAATGATGGTAAGGAGATGCGAACGGAATCAGTGCGCAAGCGCTCATTCTTTCTTTATGGGGCCCACCATTTTTCTTTTTGTGTGAAATCTCACCTTCTGGAAATCTCAAAAAAAAGGGAAGTGGGAGTATAGGTTTTCTTGAAGACCTCTTCTCCCTTCTCCATTATTCTAATCATTGAATTAGGTAGGAAAATAAAGAGAAATGGATCTTAGAGATGAACCACAACTACCAGCTCTCACCAATCATCACTACCACCGACCAAATCCCCAACCATTTAGGGTTCATCTAATACAATCACCAATAAAGCAACACTTCCCTTGTTCACACCACCCCTTTACAACCATCCATCTTTCATAAAAGATGCCTCACTGCGATAATGATGGCCCTTTCCTCCATTATCAGACATATTTAACTCATTATCATCATCTTTGCCTTTGTCCCATATGAATGGGGTCGGCCACATAAATTTTCTTTTCCCATTCTTTCCTATAATAAACCATGTCTCTTGCAGTATTTAGTTTTTTTAAATCATTTTTAATTACTTCATCACATGTAAGTTTTGGCCGTCCTCATTGTCGCTTACCTTCTAGGCACACAGCCCTTCCTTTCCTAACCGGTGCATCTTCCCCTCTATGTGTATATGAACATTATCCATCACAATTAAAACGCAATCCAATTCCCCCAATTTTGTGAATGGTGAATGTTCTCTAGAGAAGATGGAGGTGTGCGTTTTCCAGCTATGAATTGGCTTTAAGATGTGGCTTACAAGGATGGTTTCAATTCATGGAGATAACAATGATATTTTTGTGTTGGTAGCTAGTTCAAAGCATCCCCCTTCCCCCCCAAACCCCCCAACAAAAGTAATTTGCTTTGCAATTTACAAACTAAATAATTAGTCTTCCTCAAATATTTTGACTTCCTAAATTGCAAGTATGGTATTCACTCTTCAAAGCGTCTTGTCATCCATGGTGGTTGACTTGTGAACTGCCTTCTTTTTCTTCTCATGCTACCCTTTCCACTGGTGTAAATTGCACTGTCCATATATATTAGCTTCTCAACGTTAATTGTGGCGTGATAGGTAGGGCTGTAAATGAGCCAAACTGAGCCGAGCTTGTGGATGTTCAAGCTCGGCTCGGCTTATTTGGATAAGAGTTTGAGCTCGGCTCGAGCTCGATCGAGCCGAGCTCGATCGAGCCTAGCTTAGGCAAGATTGAGGCTCAATCGAGCTCGGCTCGATAGTTTTTGGGCAAATTCGAGCTCGGCTCGTGAGCTCGTTAACGGCTTCAATATTCATCAGCGATTTCATGTTTATATATATACACACACATCCACACAAATTACTAGATCATTTAACTGAGGAACAATTCACCATTGCACTCCATGGATGTCAGATCTGAAACCTTTTCATCTTCTTTACACTATCAAACAAAAATGAAGATTCCACCACTGAAATCACAAGAGAGGAGAGAGCAAGAACCTTGGACTATCAAGTTGCCAACCGGAGGTCCGGTGGATGGCGAGAACTGAAGCATTCCGGTGCGAGTTAGATTGGGTGGTGTTGCTACAGCGGCAGATGTCTGTTTGCTCTTACTCTTTAGCATGAAACGAATGAAAGAGGGATGGTATTAGGTTTAGGTTTAAATAAAAATGGGCTTGGGTCTGGGAAAAGTATTGGGCTTCATATTCTTTAAAGGGTTATGTTATACCGTAATTGTGTTGGATGGAATTCAAAGAATGTGAAAATGGTTATATAGTCAAGTGAGCCTTCTTAGTTTTAATGAGTAAGTGGGCCCTTACACGGATTCAAAAAATTATATATATATGTGTGTGTGTGTGTGTGTGTGTGTGTATATATATGTGTGTATATATATATATATATATATATATATATGTATATATTTCGAGAACTAAACAAGCCTTTAAACGAGCTTGTTCACGAACACGTTCACGAACAAATGAACCGAACAGAGAGGTTTTTGAGATTGGCTCGTTTAATAAACGAGCCTAAAATTTTTGTTTGAGTTTGGTTCGTTTATTAAACAAACGAACACGAATCGAGCCTTTAGTGAGCTGAGCTTGAGCTATTTGTCAAACGCTTGGTTCATTTACAACCTTAGTGATAGGAAGAGAGATAATGGAGAGAAAAGGCGACCAGCCTGTGAGAGTGAACAAATGCGAAGACAGGTTTCTCATTTATTGAATTGGAAGGGGATAGATTTTTTATTTTATATTTTTTTCCTAACCATGGACAAGGGGATGAGTAGGACATGAAAGTGCTACTTATATAAAACTACATCGTTTAGTGAATGAGCAAATTAGTAATTTGTCATCGCAAGTAATGGTGAACAAACGGCATGGACTGATTTGCAATTTTTGATAGTTTAGGGGATTTTTACAATGCCAGAGGGTTTTGCAAGAATGAAATAGTTGAAGGAATTTTTTTGCAGTTTACCCATCTTACCAAAGCATCCATAGTTTCGAAAAACTTAATAGTTATGTGTGACACTGTGATCTAAAGTTCTAAACTAAAACTGCCTAGTTATAAAATGATGATTTTAGAACTTCCAAATTTTTGACTTACTCATCCTGAATGATGGAGATTTTCCCTACACCCATGGTTTATGAACATCCTAAACTTTAACATTTCAGAAAGAAGAAGAATATTGTGTGATCTTTTTGCAAAAAATTCTGACTGTCATAACTAAAGAGACTGTAAAATCCAGAGAAGCACCAAAACCTAAGGAAAACGTATGTATATTATTAGGTGTCGTGTGATTGCAAAAACAATATTAATGTTATGATCGCATATAAGAGAAAAATATGTTATGGAAATAATTCTAAAAGTCGACAATAAAGGAGGGTACACCCACCTTTTTCTAGTGCTCCCTGTGCAGACTGGAGAGTGAGGAGAGACTCAAGCAGTGGATCCTGATCCATCGAGGATCTATTATTCTCACTTTTTTCTTCCTTAACATCCCAAGACAAGTCAGCAGCTAAATCATTTTGAGAGAGAACTTCAAATTCTTGCACACTTTCTTTGCCATAACCACTTTGAAGCTCCTTGCTGAACTGTTGTTCACCAGAATCACCACCATGAGCTTCATCACTGTTTTCACCATTGTAATTCATTGACCTTCCAATTTGTCTTCCATTACTAGTCACAGAATTAGCGCCCTGCATAAAGACAAAGTTGGAGCTTCTCGAGTCAGATTCCATGCTGGAATGAGAGTTTTCCTTCTTAATTTTGACCCCTTCTCCTCTAGGCTTCTTACTGGTTTCAGTGCGACCCTTTACCTGCTGAACCCGTTGAACTGAATTACCAATATTCTTCCCTCTCAGACTCCTCATCCGGTTATTATCGCGTGCAAAACCCACTACAGCAGGGATTTCGGACCTCAACTTTGGGGCACTAGCTGCCGTGGAAGATTTACTACTCCGGTCCTCACTGTTCTCAGAATCGGTCCCAGCAGCAAAAGTGGGTCCGACTTCCAATCCAGTATCCAAATTTCGGCCAAGCATTGAAAAACCATCAACTGTGGTGCCAGGACTTTTGACCACAGCATTCGTGGATGAAACAGATCCCTCGCTCTTTTGCTTCGTCTCAACGGAGAAATTCTTAGGTTTTGTTGAATTCATTACTGCACTTGACAAACCCCGCTTCAGGATTTTATTGGTATCAATATCAGGACTCCCATCCTTACTGAATTCCCTCTTGATCCGCCTCCATTTCTTCAATCCATACCCTTTCCTCGTCGCAGGGGAGGATGACTCCACCGCAACGCCAGGAGACCCAACAGTCAATGGAGGTGAATTCACCGACTCCGAAGCTTCAACATCGTTCGGTTTCATATCACCCAAAAATTCATCACCAACATGTTCATGATAATCACCACCACCACATGACCCATTATTTTCAACCTTGACTTCCTCAACATTCTCCAATCTCTCAGGGTTTATCAACTCATTATCTTCCACAGATTCATGTACCGAACACTCACTTTCCAAATCCATCACTAAATCTACGAATTGTATAGCAAAACAATTGAAGTTTTATGAAGCCACCCAAAATTCAGATCAAGATCGAGAACAACCAACCATCATTCCAGCTCATGGTGGCCAAATTCAGCAAAAATTAGACAGTATCGTCAATCATGCCAGTGGGTATATTCGAATTGAATTCATTTGGAATTAAATTCGAATCAATAATTTATTTTTCAAAATCTGAACAAGATTACAATTGGAAAGCGACGGAAACAGATTCGAAGCACGATAATCAATTAAAGGCAAATTGGACATGAATTGAAAGGAATTGAATGATCAGCGTACCTTTTTCTCCATATATGATGAATTTGGGGGTTGGGGGGAAATGGATACGAATCGAAAGAGGTGGAAACCCTAAATTCAACTTTGGTTTTGGAGTTTTATAGCGATGAAATTATTGAGAAATTTAAAATAATAATAATTATTATAAATAAATTGGGATGAGTTGGAAACATGGAAAACACAGATGGCCACATGGAGGTGGTGGCCCACAGCTTTTGGTACCACATGACATTATACACTCAGGGGTCGGCATTGTCATCATTCAAGCAAGTGAAATTACCAAATTATCAGTTGGTTGTTTGTATCATGGATTAGTTGATTTTGTTTGTTTCAATGTAAAATATTTTTTTTTTAATTTTTTTATTATTTTATCGATATTTGATAAAAGTTTACGTTAAGATTTATTTGACAAAAATTTACATTGAGATTGAAGTCGAGTCCATTAGACAGAACATGTAAAATAATTTATCAAAAATTGATGAATAAGTTATTTTTGTTAAATTTTAATATATTTTTGTTTGTAAATATTTTACAACAATTAAATACCAAAAAATAAAAAAATATTTTACATCCAAACAAATGAACCCTAGATCTACAAATATGCTAATGAATGGGTGATTGTAAATAAACTTGGTTAAGATTTGTAAATACAATCTATTTATTAAGTTGGTTTTAGACTTATAACGAATGGGATAAATTTTTGAGATTTCATTTTATTGTGGAGATGAAACAGGTACTTAAAAAATAAATAAATAAATAAAAATAAAAAGGGACTTATAACTGAATTTCTCTTTTTAATATTTATTTTAATTTTAAACTGACAACACAAAACAAATACATTGAGCTTGAATCAGCTGAGTCATTATTAGACACTTTTGTTCGGACTTGTGTGGGACTCAAGTCCAATTTTACATGTGTGGACTCAAGTCAAATTTTACCTCCTAATGATTTGATTTAATAAAATTCATCTCGTTGCAATTGTAGACCCAATATTTGTGCATAATTACATAAAAGGCCCCATATGTAAAAATGCAACCTCGACCCTACTAGTATTCATTCTTAACTCAAAAAAATCTTTTAAACCTTAATCCTACAATTTTTTTATTTTAATTTTTTGTTAAATTAAGTAGAACATTAGTTTAAAAAAAAAAAAAAAAAGGTTTAGAAAGTATATTTCTTAAAATGTTTCAGTGGATGTGTGTATTGGGTTGGATTTACGACCCACAAGTCGGGCCTTGTGTTAGCCCAAGTTCATACCCGCCCAATAATGAGTACAGTATGAGTTGGATTGGCCCACATAAACTCCCACGGTGTCTTGGCCCACTGGCTCGGGTAGGCGACAGGCCCGATCACGTGTCGCACCATTTGTTTTTACACTAATACCAAATCAACAACCTAACAAAAATTAGTCTCCTGAATTAATCGGGGCAAAGTCGTAGACGCCCAACTTAAAATTTAATGAAGTTAAATGTGGTTCTTTAACTTGAACAGATTTTTTTATGGTGTAAATTTAACATAAATTCGTAAAAAGATTTATACCCAACCGAACAGTTTTCCTACTGTGAAGTCCACACCCCAAAAAAAAAAAAAAGTCAAATAAGTTAAATGCTAATGGGAGAAATTATCTTACAAGATCTTGAAGTCGACTTTTAAGACTTTGGAATAGTAGTTTGGATCTTTAATGGTTTGCTTTTTCCACGTCATCATCCCTGGTTTTCAACTTTTTAACGTACCTCAGTTGTCATGACTCGTGACTCATGAACTTGGCCAATGGCATCCCACTCAACTCTCAACTCCCAACTCCTCACGCCGTCATGCCATATATATATATATAATATACGTCTATACATATATGATATATGCATATATGCTTTGCATTTTTAATTTTCTTCCTAAACCATGGAAAGTACTTCTTTCCTAGTTTTTTTTTTTTTTTGGTTAAATGGGAAGCTTACTTCTTTCCTAGTTCCTACAAAGAGAGACAATAAACCGCAATATGCATTTTTAAATTTAATGGGGCTAAAGGAAAAATGAAATGAAAAGAAAAAAAGAAAATACGTGTCCAAATAAGCTATTTAATTTCCTGAATTTTTTTTTTTTTTTTTGGTTTTTGAGAACATCAAATACTCAACTACCCAATAAAGGGAAGGTTAGTAAATTACCAAAAAGGGTAAAAAAAAATAATAAAGGGTACATTGAATTAAGGGTGTTAAAAGTGTACTACTACAAACATTTTCTTTAACTAAGAAAAAGTCAAAGTATTTTCCATGAGGGAGAGGGAGAGGGAGAGGGAGAGGAGTGAGTAACCTAGTCCTAAGGGGCAATTATGGAATTATCACAAACTCAGGGGGATCATTGGTATTTGAAGACTTTAGGTAGGAGGAAGAATGGAAAATCAGAAAAGATTCCACTTTTCATTATTTTAATGTTTGGGTCTAAGTATTTGAAACTGAAAGGGCAGGCATTAGCATAGCATAATGGTGGTGGATGACATTGAAAGACAAAGAGTGGCCCACATTGGAGCATTCAGTCTCTTTAAGATTTATTAGGCTTGTCCAACTTTCACCATGCAAACTCCACCATACACATTCCATCACCATTACCACAAAATATATATATATATATATATATATATATCACCAGAACATTCACTACTACAAAACAAGACCTTAAGGTCAAAAAAGAACTGCACTTTATAAAATCACCCCCAAGAAAAAGGCTTAGTGCCCATATTGCAGCCCTTAACAATATATATATATATATACACACACACACACATAGTACACACACTGTGGCACACGTATACACATCATTGGGGAAAAGATATTGCCAATCTAACGGCTATTGTGTTAATTTGTATAGTCTTGCAAGTTGCAGCCATCTCTATTTTTTTGACTCTCTCTCTCTCACACACACGCACACACACATTATGTAACGGCTATATTACATGTTCTGGCAAAAAAGCGTGTTCCATGCTTTAAAACCCTCGATTGTCTTGCCATGCATTTATCTGGGATTTAACCAAAAGAAGGGAAAAAGTAAAAGGTAGATGCAAAGAAAAAGAGAGAAATAAGCTAATAGTACAGTGATTTTTGTGTAAGTTTCGAAGTAGCTAGGTCTATGGGTTTGATACTTTGATGTTGGAGGCTCAACTAGTTAGTCACCTTTTATTACATACAATAATACAAAACCTTCACTTGGCATGCAAGAGAGAACCACCATTGGCCTCTAGAGTTGTGTGTTTATATTACTTGTTGATTCATTCACTTCTTGGGATTTCTCCATGCGGTTAATACTAGCAAGAGATGAAGTAATCAATCATGATATATATAGTTCTATTCATTAATGCAATTATGCATGGCTAAACTATAAGAACAGCTAACGCTAAAATTTAAGCCCAGTGCACGAGTATCCTGCCACTACAGAGTATGGGGATCGAGGGTTTTAGGCACATAAACTTGCATGCCTCTTCTAAACAAAAAATCACATAGGCGAAACTTGAAACCATTACTTCATTTGATCTCTTGTCTATAGAAACATCTAGGCCAATATTTCATGCAAATGAAATGTCAAGATGAACACTACAATTCATATATTAAAAGGAAAGGTTCTTCAAGGTGATTTATTAGTCATAGATTGTTTTATACATTACTATCAGGAAGCTTTAACAATGCCCACAGAGGCCTCAGAAACTGCTTAAATCTACATTTGAAGAAAAAGAAAAAAGAAAAAAAAAACTTCATCAAAAACAACTTACTTAAATTAAGTACTCTTCTAAACTTCCGCAGGGTCTCTCGATCAAGCTGCCATACCTCATGGCTTTGAGATCATCAGTTTCAAACGTCAATCTTTCTGGACAATTCCCGATTTCAGCAGAATTTTGATGTGAAACTCAGTGCTGCACGTGCCAAGTGAAAATGTCTACCTCAAGCAAAGCTTGGTGGTTATGAAAAGCTTGGAGAATGATACAACACAGATCTTAGATGGCCTGTTGAGGATGGAGAAGCTGTTAAAGAACCGGGATGCAGTACGCTTGAACCTTCTGAAGTACAATTCCACCGAACAGGACTTGCATTCGCTCTCCTGGAAGGAGGCAGCTGAAAGCTAGTGCTGCGCAACATTTGAGATCCACTATAGTGAGGAGAATCCTGTGGCTGATAACTATAGAAAGGATTCGCATGCCTTGAACTATAATCAACAGCCGCTGGAATTGAAATGCCAGCTGATGTTACCTGATTTCCCTTCATGCCTTCAGTGTTTGTTGCGTCGGAGGAGGAACCAGGTTCACTTTCAGGAGTGTCGTCAATAATTATGATCTCCTTAACAGGATTGGTGGTAGAATTAGCATTCCTGTGTAGGGGATCAGGAGTCGTTAAAACTTTTTCTGTACTATTTGTCAATGTATCTGGTCCGTTTTTGGGTCTACTTTGTTCAGTCGGCAAACTGTATCCACCCTTGTACTCATGCGGCTTCAAGGAAGCTGTAAAACAACTACCCATATTCTTGCTTGTAAACATGGGCACCGAAGCCTGAGGCAGTGCTTGTGTTGCCTTGGCATTAACATGGCTTCTGAAACAGTTCGACAACCTGACATCAAAACCTTGCCCCATTTTGTTATTTTGATTCTGGCCAAAGATAAGAGGACTTTGATGGACCATATGATCAAAGCAACGGAAGTCACCATTTTGAACATTGCCAGAAGAGACCCCAGAAAGTGTCTGAATTTGTGGATTTGGATGGTCATTCAGTTCACCTGACTGCGATTGTCTAAGTTGCGGGCACAAGTCTTCATCTTTGTTTACCACCATTAAATTTTTCCCCATCAGCCTGAGAACGGGATTTGAAGCAGATGGACTAGCAGAATCACAACCACCACGGATTGGGAACTTGAGTGTAGAATCAGCAGAAACATTCACATGGATGGGACCTTCAGGTGACCTTGTGTCAGAGAGAATTAACTTTTCAGATTCTAAACTTGGGAAATTGGTGACAGTAAACATTTCAGCCCTCGAGTTGAAACTAGGTCTTATGTTCGGATCATAACTCATCTGCTTTCCCATGGCAGGAAGTGGCACAGAAGCCATATTCCGTCGCCTTAGAAGTTGTGACTCTTGATAATTTAAAGCAACACCCTCAGAAGTTCCCTCCTTCCTTGAGCAACAACATGGTTGATCATTTTTGAAACCGAGAGGTCCCTTATCAGGGAATATCGCATTGATTTTCAATTCATCAAGAGTCATTCTTTCTGCTCCTGCACTCGCAGCAGGTTGAACTGTAGCATTATTTTCCACTACAGGATCATGGCTGGCACCTGCGAAGCCTGACCTATTTTCTTCTTGAGTGACATGAGGTCCTCCAGAAAAGTTTTCTGAAACTTCCAGATCAGATCTCACCACAGAGGAGTTAGAAATGGCTGATGTTGCAGAAATGGGAGAATCTGACAAATCTCTATCAACCATATCATGGCGATCTTCGGAGGAATGAACTCGGCTGGTAGTTAATGTTGAATTTCCTTGTAGATCTTCCGAACCTAAATGCCCAGGACTTGGCAGAAATGACCCTGGCGGTCCTGGAATAGGTATTGGGTCAACGTCAAGAAAGTAATTTCCTTGCCCAACTTTACAATCAAATTCTGTCCCCATATGAATATTTTGCTCCATCACACCATTACCAACTGCATCTGCACAAAACATCTCTTGTTCATCACCCAGACTTTGCTCGGTAGGACACATTGGTGCTTCAGCTCCACACAAAGATCCCTTAAATACTTCAAGACAATGCATCAAGTCAGATCGGGTGTAGGAAGGATTAGTCTGCTTGTGGAATTCTGGATCTGAAGATCTACTCTTATTCACAACACTCCCCTCCTCCCAACAAGTTCGATCACCTTTTTCGGCATATTCTATGTCATCGAATGTGTCTGTCAAACCACCACGAACTCTAACAGAAAAATCTACATGCTTCCCTGCATCATGAGCATAACAATGAGGTGTTGAACGTGAACTCTTCAAAGCTGCCATGGTTTCCTCACTCTTAGAGATACTCAATGCTCCTCTCTTCTTTCTGATCTTCAGAACATGGCGTCTGCCAATAGACACTTTGTCAGTCATCTCTTCTACTCTGGATTGATTTTCAGCATGATTCTGCATAGAGTCATGATGTTCATCCACTTCAGATGGCCATGTTACTAAGTCTTCATCTAACTCTTCCATCCAAGGCACCCGAGATTTTTTGAGTTCAGAACGCTTTCTACTCAAATTACAGTTGGATTCTGGTGCAGTGGATTGCCTAAGTGACAACACATTCTTCCTCGTGGTTTTTGACAATAATGCATTATGCCTCTGGGACAGTTTTGCGGAAGCATCATGATAACTATTAAAGCTTTTGACCGGGCCTGTGCTGATTTTAACTGCCTGATTGCTAGGAGAAGATACTCGTTTTTCTCTATAATTAGGCAGATCCTTGCAACTATCTGGCATGTCTTTTCTCAACTGTTTCGCATTACGCTTCGGTATTTCCGAAGAACTCTCCACATTGCCGCTGATCTGAGACCCAGATGAGAAAATTCCAACTCTCTTTCTCAGAGAAGGCTGCTCATCACATTCAGTAACTTGAGCTCCATTCGATGAACACTCCATTCTTTTGCTGCTTTCATGAGAGGAAAGTGGATTCTCAGATGATTTTAGATTTTTCAGGAAGCTACCCTCCGCATATGAATCACCTAAACATGATTGATCACTTTCAACTAGCAAGTCCTGTGTCAAATTATACTTCGAACGTTTAACACCTTCCTTTAAGCTGCTTTTCTTGGAGAGACCTGTTCGCTTAGAGCGTACCCATTTTCTTATGGTTCCCCCTTCACTCATTTTGATCTGCTTTTGAACTTTGAAAGACTGTATCAAGTGTTCCTCTTTCTTGTGAAATTCTTCCACTGCATGAGTTCTTTCTTGACAACGATATACCTGTTTACCAATAATTTAATAACAACTAAAGTCTCATACAAGTTGAATTGCAAAAAACAGGCGTTTAACTTTTAGTGCAAATGTAGTACAATAAGCATTAAGCACACTAAATTAAGTTCAAACCCAAAAAACAAAAATAGATAAATTAATAACAAGAACTAAGAAATACCAAAAATGAAGTTGATGGAGCCAATCTAAGTCTACTGGGAGCATGAAAAATAAATTTTATCCCAAGCTGTAGCATACTTAAGCCTTTCAAGGTCTCAAAACACATAAGATAAATCTATTGGCTATATTGCCAATAGATATATATATATAGTAGTGGAGAATTTTGTCAGACTTAAAAGAATAGGAACGAGTGAGAGAAAGAGCGACTATGATCACTACTAGAAGAAGGGAAACACACACACAAAAGAAGCAAGGGCAGTGTACCTCAGATCCGCGACCAGGACTGGGAGAGCAAAAAAATTTGCTCTGGGGGGCAAGTTTCAGGTATTTTTTGTGTTTCTGAGCATGACAATTCTTCTTGTTGGTTGAGAGGAATTTGCTTCTTTTACCTCCTTTCAGAAGTTTACGAGGTCTGAGATCCGCTCCTACTTTTGAAGAAGAAGGTTCACTGAACTTCGATAAAATCCGAACTTTTGTGCCATTGGCGTCAATATACACTGCACCATCATCACCAGTGTCCTCAAAATTAACAGGTGAAACTCTTTCCTTCCTTTCTTCGGCACACACCACAGTCTCTTGAGTAGGCAAGCATGAGTTCATGGCCCAGCATGTCCCATTTCTTCTATCAAGCTCTTCTAGTGTGCACCGTGGGGCTGTTTCGTAGATATCCACCATCAATTTTGTCTTCCTCGGCTTTATTCTATGCTTAACCACCTTAGAATTTGCAGTCCAACCAACAGTTGACTCCGCAGAAAGGCACTGATCAATGTGAGCATTCAAGGTGGTATTAGAAGAGGATGAGAAAGTCTTGCAAACCGGGCACACTTTCGAAGCCATTGTTTCCGAGAATGTCATACAATTCGATGTAATTTCTTCGTTTGAGCTAGGATCAGCAAGACTACCCAATTTCACTATCAATTTGCACCTCTTAATGGAAGGTTGGGTTGTGCTCTCGTTCTTGAGGGATGCCGGAGGGTCTACAGCCTCAGGATTTGCTGCTGCAGCTTCCAACAGAGTATCAGTATCCAATGCCGAGCAAGGGGTCCTATCAGTGGGAACCGAATCAATGTCAGAACGAGATTGACTGGTTGTTGTTGATGGAAATTCTTTATCTCCCTCAAATCCACTTGAATTTATATTTACACAATCTACTGCTAGCTTTTCAATACATCCAGCAATATTGGAATTGTCTGTTTCGAAGTGATCACTCGGCCTAGAAGGCTCCCCATTCGAATTGCTTATGTTTTCCCTATCAAGCAAACCAGCTTCAATCGTGCATCTCCCGACAAAACGATTTCTTACTGAATCAAGTGGCTGAAATGGGGGCAGCAAATCTTTGACTCCATGTTTTAAACATAGTTGCAGGCTTTTCTGAGAAAATGGCCAATTCGTCTGGATGTCCTTGCTCCGGGAACTAACAACATAATCTCTGAAACACAAAACATAAAATTTTCAGATGGGTTCGATCAATCATACCAAATCCTAACTCAACTTAGCTGTATATTGGACAAAACCCAAAGGACATTAAGTTGCTGATGAAGATTAGGAACATATGGGCCATGGAATCAATATCCAAAAAAAAAAAAAAAAAATCAACAATACAGAAACAACTGACACAGATGGCAAATTTGGCAACGGCTACAGAAGTAGCAAAGAGATTACATGATCTAATGAACTCAAAAAGAACCTTAGAGAGGGTTGACTGTATCAACAAGGAGACACATGAAATCAAGGAGAGGTAAACAAATTAATTAAGAGCTTTGACTAGAGATTGAAAGCCATGTGCCACAACTCACTGAGAGTTCGTTTACAAGCAAATATCAGATAAAAGGCAACATGGGTTTCAAGAAACCCTCCTTAGCTTAGCCCCATGGTGGACTGAAATCACAATCAGCAACATGTAACTGTGGATCTGACCCAAGAATGAAACAGATGAGTTGAAAGAATCACATGGGAAAGAGGGCAGTAAGAGAGCCATGACAGAACAAAGTAAAAGCAGAAGAGAGATCAGATGGATTGAAAGGTTAGTAGTATTTATTACCTTATGGAGAATTTGGGAAGTGGGTTTTGGTCATCAAGGCCTGACTTGAGCAGATCTACCTCTTGCAAGGCAACCTTATCAGAAGCCCTCTCATCACCACCACTTTTCAGTTGTGAGATTTCACAAGGACATGAAGGATCTGGTGGTGGGTTTTCAATGGATAACATCTGATGATAAGCTTCTCCCTTCTTGTGCAGTCTTGACTGTTGTCTTCACAACAGTCACAAGAACTAATACTATCTCCACAATTAAGCCTTGTCTTATGCTTTGCCTTCAGCATAACAATATAGCCCTCTCACAAACTCAAAACCCCACCACCATCAACACCAACCAGTAAGATCAAACAAACCCACTTCAGATATGACCCTTATCTTCTTCATTCATCAACCTGCAAAATATGAGAAGATAGAACATGAGTTCAAGACAGATGACCTAGAAAAACAAAGGAAGACAAGTAGATTCTAGACCCCTCTAGAACGTTATTTTATGTGGGTTGGAGTAAATTTAAAGCATGTATTACACATGTTGAATTATCACAGACAATTTGAGAAACTGGTTGAAGAAGGAAAGAACAAAATTTGCCAAAGAATTAATCCCACAAGCAAACATGAGATTGAAGATCCAAGTCCATGAAGCGTTATTTTATGTGGGTAGAACCCAGAAAAAGCACATGAAATTGGAACAGTTCAGAAGATGAAAAACCAATATGGCACTTGCATACTTCATGAAATCAAATCTATAAAAGGAAATCAGAAGATGGTATTAAACCAAGAGGAGTATTATCAAAAGATTTCCAAGATTACCAAGAACCTCACACTTGTGAAACAGAAGATCAAAATCAAACCCAGAGCAAGAGATTTGCATGGGATAAAAAGAATTTATAGAGTAGAAAGAAAACAAAGACGCCCAAAATCAAAGCTTTGGTCGCCTTAGGTGAACAGTAGAAGATGACCACAAAAAAAAAAAAAAAAAAAAAAATTAGAATCAACCCATAGACCAGATTTGTATATATATTTTGAATATATAGAAAATAAAAGTACTTTCAAAGTCGATGGGTCAAGAAATTTGAAGGAGAAGCTCGAGAAACACGGTGAAGAGATCATGAAATCACAAGAAGCTTTGACGTTCAAACTTCAGGACTACCTCAAAACAAATATACACATATACCAGATATGTATCTATATATATACACACACAAAACTCAAGAAGAAGATGATAAGAAGCAAATCTTGGATATAATCCAACTGGGTCTTGAAGAAAACCCAGGGATAAGAAGAAATTTAGAAGAAAACCCCAAAAAGAACCGATTTTGGGGAAGATAAATAGCATCAAAAAACCTGTTTGGAGCTAAAGAAAACAAAACCCAATACTATACCACAAACCTTCTTCTTTTGAAACACTTTTCTGGGGTTGTTTGAACAGAAAATGGGTAAGAAAATGAGGTCAGGAGAGAGAAAAATGGTCATAGCAAACTTGAAAACAAAGAACAAGATATAGATAGAGAGAGATCCATAGTTCAATAAAACTAGAGCACCCAGTGAGAGATGAAAAGGGGCATCAGGTTCTTCTCTCCACCAAGAAGCAGGTTTGTACCATTAACAGCACGATTCACCTCCCATCTGTGAATATGCGTGAGAAAGAAGAGGAGAGAGAAAGTGAGGAAGAGAGAGAGAAAAAAGCAAAGAAGAGAGTGTTACACTACAAAGCTGTCCTATCCTATACCTACCCTACACTCTCTCATTTTTTTCTCCATTCTTTAATCTTGATTTTTATCATGCATGTTACGAAATGTCGGGTTTAGCCCCTTGTTTCTGGGGAATTACACATAGTGGTACTCAATCCTGTGCATAACGACAAGATTGTGTTTGTCTGCAATCATAACCACCGTTGAAATTTGAAGCTATTTTGCATATTTCTGCAATTTATTGCACTCAGGATTACCAAAGAAATTTACAAGAAACTGTTGAGAAATTTTCTTTCCGGAACTAAAAATTGTTATAGTACCAAAAGATTAATCCGGGTAACGACACCACAAAAGAAAAAATGATTAATAAATTCAAACATAATGTCATCTCACTTGTACTTGTTTTATTAGTTATTATCTTTTAGTAGTTTATTATTTGATTTGATTTTTAAATTGCTAAAGGTGTGTTCGGTTGTAAGGGTTATATGAAATTATAATTTTAAAATTAAAATTGTTAAAATTTTAAAAACATAATTAAAAAATTTGAATCAAATTTTTTTCAAATTTTATTAATTTTAATTTCAAAGCGTCAATTCTATACAACTGAACACAATCCAAAACGTATTTAAAAAAATATAAATTGAAATGGAGTAATTTCTACATATTAGAGAGTTTGCAGTATACTTTAATTTTGCTTGATTCAACCCTTTTTTTTTTTTATAATTAAAAATTACAAAATTATACAAAAATTTGTTAATGTTTGACTAGAAATGTTTTACGAAAACTTAATATAAAAAAATTATTTTTAGATAACTATTTTTTATAATTTTTTTAAAATAAATTTTAAAACTATTTTTTAAAATAACAAATCAAGCAAGTTCTTTAACTTTTGTGGTTCAAAATTTCTAATCTAATATAAAAATAAAAATAAAAATAAAAACTTACACATCTTTTATAGTATTAAATTAGCTAGTAGTTAATATAATGAAATCCGGAGTAATCCTACTAAAAAATAAAAAAAAATTAATTAGCTACTAATTAATATAATGAAATCCGAATTATAAAAAATAGTTATCTAAAACAACAGATTGATTAGACCTAGTAACAATGCAAAGGAAATTATCAATGCTTTAGACTTAGTGACACCTCCACTTGTAGAAATATATTTTTTTAAAAAAATAGAGGTTTTAAGTCTGCCCAAAAACATTGTAACAATTTTATTTGTAAAAAATAAAAAATAAATAAATAAATAAAATTCACATACACCCGTACTGAGGTATCAGTAAAGTCATACATCTCATTTGTACTTATTTTATTGGACCTTGCTTTTGATTAGGTTTTTTAATATAGGACTTATATACATGTATGTAGAATTTTTATATTAGAGTAATAATAATACTATTAATTTTATATTATTTTCTAACTAAAAAAACGTACTCTAAAGAAATCTATTTAAACTACTGAACTACGTAGTAATATTTTTCGATTTCTTGATTTCTTCGTAAACAATATCTCTAATGATGGCTAATAAAAAATATATATATCTCTAATGATCCTAATAAGAATTTTCATCTCAAACTCCTTTCTCTTTTGACTGCCGAAAGTACATCAACCTGTAAAAGGTGTCTAGGAGCAATGTTTGGCGGTTGTTGTTAAAAGCTCTTGCTGAAGCTCTCATGCATGTATATTTTTTATTTTTTTTATTTTTTCTGATAAGGTACCAATACTCGCAATGTTTTTATTATTATTATTTTTTTTTTATTTTTAATCATTTTCATTTAGATGCTCACTATTCTTTTTTTTCGTGATCTTCTTAATTTTGTTTTTTCCAGATAAATAAAGGTAATTAATTTGTATTGATACTTAAGATACACATGTACAAAAAGAATGAGAGGAATGTTTTTTTTTCTATAGATGTTCAATTTTGTAGTTTTCTTACTAAAATTAAAAATAGAAAAGTTAAGTTTAATCAAACATTTTTCACTTTAAACTTGATAAAAATCATTCTTTCATAATTTTCCATTGTTATTTAGTTATATAAAAAATTATTAATCTAACAATATAAATTTTGGTAGGTTAGTTTTCATTAGAGAATTGAACTTTAATTGAATTCAAATTCCTAAGTAATTTATAGTTTTATTGTATCTTGTATTTTTGCAACTATATACTTACATTAGCAAGAACCGTTGCGTTGTTCAAATAGTTTTATAATTTAGTATTAAATTTGTTATAATCCAATTATATATATAAAAATATATATATTTTTAAATTAGCTTCATTAGAATTTTCCTTTTGAAATTACCTTAAAAATAATAATTAGAAATTCGCAGGTGCACTTCTACTAATTTTATTGAAAATACAGTCTTTATTAAACCAACAATAAAAGTAATAAACATGGGTTCCATTTTGTTGATTCCTATTGGTGGGGTGTCTCTGGCTTATTTGTGACGTTTCTTATTTTTTACAATTTTTTCATTTTCGGACATTTTTTTGATTTTTCTGAATTTGTTTATTATCACCTTGTTTTGTTTGTCGAGCATCGTTCGGTGTGCCATGTGAGCTTCGAAAGTTAGTTGGGGCATTTCTTCGAGTTCAGGACTCTTAGAAATACATTGTCAGTCGTTTCGGCATTTTACAAATTTTCAAACCGAGAGGTCCCGGACGGGACCCGCACCCAAATTTTTCGTGCATGGGAATATTTTTCGGCATCATTGCACTTCATGTATTATTATTAGATGCATGTTTGTGTGGCTATATGCTTAGATATGTATTATAGCACATCTATATGTGTATGTGAACCCCACCTGTAATACCCCGTAATTTTAAAGAATGTATTTAAATTAATTTTGTGTTAGGTTAATTAATTTTATTTATTTGTGCATACTACATTATTATATTAAGTTCATTTAATTGTGCATGTAAATTAATTGTGTATGTTAAAATAGTAAATTTATTCATTTAATTATGCATGTATTATTATTAATAATTTTATTTGTTGGTTATGCTTATATTAATCATTATTAGTTAATTAAAGTATTATATTTGTGTTATATAGTATTATGATGTTATAATGTATTCTTTTGTAATAATAATAATTATATTAGTTTAATAATAATAATAATAATAATCATATAATAATAAAAAAAATTTATTAATAATAATATTAGTAATAATAATAATAATAGTTATAATAATAATAATATTAAATCAATGTAATGATGGAAAATTAAATATTAGGATAGAATTTCATTTACTATGGTAGAATGGTGGATCAAATATCTTGATTAAGATTGCATTGTCTTAAAGCCATATAGGTAGGGATATGAGAAATGGGTGAGAAGTTAATATAAATTAGATATTTGTATTATATATATTATATAAGTTTGTATATATATATTAGTAGCCAACTTACTCTAAAGGCAACTTACTTAAGTTAGAAAGCTTAAACATTCTAGTGAGCTATTTTATAAGAGTGAAAGGAAAAGAGAAAGAGAAAGAAGCTTGGACCGGTGTAGGCAATTTTACCCGTCTACGCGCAGACCGGCGGATTTATTTTAAATCCAAAAAGGCAAGTTATTATCTACTTTTCCCCTTTGAATCCATAAATTATTCATTTAATTTATTTCGGGTTTTTTTTTTGAGACTAGAAACCATGCTAGAAGTTTCAATAAATTATTTTAGTTTATTAAAATAATGTGTTTTAATTATTAAAGTGGTTAGTTATTTATTTATTTAGCCTATGTAATTAAAATATAGCTGAAAATAATTAAATAAGACTTTAGGGATTTTTCTAGAATTTTCTAGATTTTTCCGGGCATTTTTTGCAATTTCCGGCGACCTTCCGGCGAGTTTTCCGGTCGCCGGCAATGGGGGAGACGACCGGAGTGATCCGGTGTGATGCGGCGCACCATAGGAGGGTATGCGTGCGCATCTGGACCATTAAATAGCAGCGATTGATCCGGTGCACCGCGGTCCATGTTACCGCGGTACACCCGGATCCGTGAACGTTGGATGGAGGAGATGTAGGTGGATTGATCCGGTGTGGCGCGCATGTAGGAAAGCTGATGCAGCCAACCAACCGGAGGACGCCACGTCAGCAGGAAGCCATCAACGCGCGCGTGGGAGCGCGTGCACGCGCGTGGAACGCTCCAGACGCGCGTGGGAGCGCGTGTGCGCGCGTGGCTGACGCCAGACGCGCGTTGAGGCACGTGGGAGAGTGGGAAAGCTTGGCGGCGCGTGTGGGGAGCTCTGGGAGGCGCGTGGGGGCGCGTGAAGGGCCTCTGCGGCTGCTGGAAAAGTCCAGAATACCCCTAGGGACTGTTTTGTCATTACCAGGACCTTCACTATACATTTTGGGGCCTCGGGTTGGCATTTTTGGAATTAACGGGACATTATATTATTATTTTATTTCTCGTTAATTATTATAATTGTCCGATTAATATTTCTAAATATTAATTGTATCAGTTAAAGTGCGAATCGCTAGTAAACATATGTAATTGATTTAACGACTATTAATGGTATTATTTTAGTAAACTGTAATAACCATTAATGTTAAATTAATTAGTGCTTGGTTTTATTCATATAAATAACCCATTATATATTATGGAATATTTATACTGTTAATCGTATATAAACCATGATGATTATGCTGTGTGCATTTCAGGGAATAAATGGACTGTTTATT